CATATGGAATATAGCATAAAGAGATTAAATGTGCAAGGAAAGGAAATTAAGAGCTATGGAATTAAGACCATGAAACCCCAACATATGTATATTCTATGGGGTGGAGCAGTAGCTCAGTGGTGGAGCAGGATTAGCTGGCACAAAGGCCTGGTTCAATTCCCAGAACCACAAGTTGCGGGGGGTGGGGGGGGGTGGGGAGGCAGAGAAGGGCGGTTCTGTCAAAGCAGAGTGGAGGGGACAGCTGAGAAGTAATGTTTGATGTCACTGCTGAGAATTTTCCAGGATTAAAATTCAGGATAAATGTGAAACTTCGGATCTCTGCATTTAAATATCAAGCAGGATAAAGATAAAGTCCTACATCTTTGCATAGGAGTCAAGCAAAGCATCAAAGATAGAGACCAGTTGCAAAAAACAATTAGGGAAAGATGAGGAGTAAATCTTCTCAAAATGCCAAGGGAGAATAAGCAGTCAGCCTCAAATTTGTCCCACCTAAATTATTGTCTAAGGGAGGAAATGAAAATAATTTTATATACACAAGAATTTACCATCCAAAGCTGTCACTAAAAGCAATTTAAAAAGACATATGGAGGCCAGGTGCCAGTGGCTAACATCTGTAATCCTAGTTACTCAGGAAGCAGTGATCAGGAGGATCAAGGTTAGAGGCCAGCCCAGGTGAATAGTTTGCAAGACCCTATCTTGAAAATACCAACACAACAAAGGGCTGGTGGAGTGGCTCAAGTGGTAGAACACCTGCCTAGTAAAAGCCTGAGGCCCTGAGTTTCAGGGCTGCTAAAAAAAAAAAAAGAAAGAAAGAAATACAGTCTATCAAAAATCACAGGAATAGGATAGGAGAGGAAAAATGTAAAACCAATCAGTCCAGCAAGAATCAAAAGGACAAAAATGAAGCAAGGATGATTTTTAGGAAACACAAAATGAAGTGGTAGGAATAAATTCCAGTGCATCTATCATTCACCATAATAAATGAAAATGAATTAAACTTACCTTTGAGAAACAGTACATTATAAATTGTCCTTTAAAAAAAGCTACCTAAATACTGTTCTAGAGATACACCTAAAATAAAACTTTTCAACAAGTTTGAAAGGAATGGACTGGAAAGGTTATGTGTACCAGCAAATTCTAACCAAGAAAACTCACTCTGACTAAATAGGAAAAAGGCTTAGGAATAGAAGAAATTTTCTGGATCTGATACAGGCCAGCTAGCAGAAACTTTCCAGAAGTGTCGTTCTTAGTGGTAAAACATTAAAGTATTTCAATAAAGTCAAAATAAGAAAAAGATGCCCTGTATTACCACTCCATTCAGTGTTTACTAGAAGTTATCCATGTAATGAACACGGTGGGGGGAGGGGCTAATTGTATGAATTGGAAAAGTAAATGTGAAAAGGACTGGTTTTTTCCAAATCATACAATGTTCTTACATAGCAGAAAAATCTATAGATAAACTTTAACGGTGCATAAGAGGCTTTAGCGTGGTTTGAGATCCACCTTCAAATATAGATAAGCATTGTACTATACTAGTAAATTACAAAAGGAAAAAAGCCTATCACAATAGCAATAGAAGCTGTAAGTCCAAATGTGTCCCTCCAAAATTCATGTGTTGAAATCTAACTTCCAAGGGGATGGTGTTAGGAGGTGGGGTCTTTGAGAGCAGAGCCCTCATGAATGGAATTAGTGTCTTTAGAAAAGAGAACAGGGAGAGATCCCTGGCCCCTGGGAAGATGGCTGTCTATGACTTGGAAAGCAGCCTTCACCAGACATCACAGATCTGCCAGCACCTTGATCTTGGACTCCCCCCCCCCCCCCACTCACTGCCCCTCCAGAACTGTAAGAAATGAATTCCTGTCGTTTATAAGCCACCCAGTCTATGGTGTTGTGTTATAGTGGCTCAAATATACTGAGACACATAGGGACACATTTCTACCCAAAATGTACTGTCTCACTATGGAGAAACTTACAAAATTTGAGTTAAGGATATAAAATTAAACCTGACTAAATTAAAGACAAGCCATATTCCTAAATTTGGAAGATTTCTTTCTCTTCAAAACAAAGATTGATAAAGCTGACTAAAGTTGAAAACTTCTGTTCAACAAAAGGCACCGTGAATAAATCAAAAGATAAATTATGGGTTGGAAAAGATACTTGCAATGTATATAATTGACAAAAACTAATATTAGAATTTACAAATGAATACGGGAACAAAAAAAAAGACCCAAGACAAAAATGGCCACAGGACATGCACAGGCAATTCAGAGAAGAGAAAACTCAAATGGACACACAATAATAGAAGCTCAGCTTCAAAGAAAAGAGGATTAAAATAAAATGAGGTAACATTTCACCTCCATCAGGTGGCAGATGAAAATGTCTGAAAATCCTAAGTTGTAAAGCAGTAGAAACTCCCCTGTGTACAGGTTGAGGCATAAACTTGGAAAGGGCTTGGAAGAATGCTGGCCATATGCAGTCAAGTTAATATTTTTACTTTACTGCTAATCGGCAGCTCCGTTTTTCAGTTATACATAGAGTACCATTGCAGCAGGTGCACACGTCACATGCAAGGACTTCCATTGTCACATTTGCAATAGTGGAAAAGTACAAACAACTCAATTGTCCATTAGCAAATTGCAGGTGAGTGAACACAGCGCGGGACAGTCATGGACTAGAATGCCCTTCACTAGTTAAAATAAAGCACAGAACTTCATGCATCGTCATGGCTAAACTTCAAAAGCTTAGTGTTGAGCAAAACCCGCAATTTCAGGACAGGAGTGTGGCTTAGTGGTACAGTGCTTGCCTCGAATTCGCAAGGTCCTGGTTCCATCACAGCGCAACAGAAAGAAAACTATCAGAACAAGATTATTGAAAGTAAATATACAATATTAGATATTTTATAAGTACATACATATGTAGTGAGATTATTAAACACATGGGATGTTAGATAATGAATACAGGGGACCGGTCCCCTGGGGAAGGAGGAAGAGATAGGGATGGACAGGAAGCTTCAACTTTCTGTAATGTTTTACTTTTTTGAAAATGTAACACTGATGCACAAAAGATTTGGTAGAGCTTGGTAGTGGATAAAAGGATTCTAATTTTTTGTTTTTAAAATGTTTTCTTTATATTTAAAATATTTCAACTATTCACAGATTTTTTTTGTTTTGTTTTTTGTTACTTGGACTCTGTGTGTGTGTGTATGTGTGACGGGATCTTGCTATGTAGCTCAGGCTGGCCTTGCATTCACCATCCTCCTCTCTCAGGCTCCTGAGTGCTGGGATTATAGGCATGATCCACATAACTGGCCACACCTTTTTAAAAGGTAATGAATTTTAAAACCAAATAAAAATTCTTTGGGCATATTTGAAAAACCACATTTTTCAGTCTCCCAATTTGCTCCTAAAAAAAGGGTTATTTCACTTTGTTCCAACTAATATTTGTTGAGCATTTGGACTGGGATAGAGTTAAGGTTACACTGAGACCTGAGTGGACTCAGACTGCTTTTCTAGAACCCAGTATCCAGGGAAAACCGGACAGCGTGTGTAGTGCAAAGTCCACAGGTAGGTGGATTGGAGCAGGTACTTCCAGAAGTGAATACCTGCTGGCCCACAGCTCTGCTTACACCAGATTACAATAGTGTTGTCCAGTAGTGTGATCCAGGAGGTGTGAGAGGATGGGGAGTTGCAGAGACACCAGCATCTGAAAACTGAGGCATGAGAACCATGATGGGTTGTGACAAGCCATGAGGGCTTAGAGGCTATAAGACACAGGGCTGGGGGGGGTACAGCTCAAGTAGTGGAGCACTTCCCTAACAAGTGTGAGGTTCTGGGTTCAATCCACAGCAACCCGCCCCACCCCACAAAAAGAAAAGGAAAAATAAAAAACCAAAGAATTTGAGCCAGATTACACACTTATGCCTATAATCCCAGCTACATGGGAGGAAGAGGTAGGAGGATTATGATCTAAGCCCAGCCCAGGCAAAAGTGTGAGACCCTGTCTGAAAAAAAAAAAAAAAAACTAAAGCAAAAAGGGCTGGAGGCCTGCCTAGCAAGCCTTCAGTTCAAACTCCAGTACTGGAAAAAAAAAACTAAACTGTGCATGGTGGTGCACACTTGTAATCCCACCTACTTGGGAGGTTGGAGGTAGATAGGAGGGTCACCATCACAGGGTGACGCAGAGAAAAAAGCACAAGACCCTATCTGAAAAGTGAACTAAAAGCAAATGGACTGCAGACGTGGCTCAAGTGGTAGAGCATTTGTCTAGCAACCATGAGGTCCTGAGTTCAATCCCTGATACCACAAAAAAAAAAAAAAAAAGATGTAGAGTGGAAAACAAAGAAAAAGAAGCCAGCTGGTGACTGGAGGAGAAGGGATGAGGTGCAAAGAGAGGCTGGGGTGCAGGCTGTGTGACGTAAAAGGAGGAAGTCAGCTTCCTGCTGCTGAAATGGGACCAGATAAACTGCCCCAAGAGCAGCACAGGATGCCTCATGGCCACTTCAGGGCTCTGCTTGCCCAGGCCTTAGCTCATACCACAAACTCCAGATGACTTGACCTTGCCCAGATAGAAGGGCCACAGGACGGGAAGCAGAACGGATCATAGATAAATGCTACCCCTGCATTTGAGCCTATGGTGCTGTGAGCAACAGCCCCAGCATTTCCCTGGCCTGGGCTCTCTTCTGCTCGCTGACCAAATGGGGCCTCTAAGAGGCATATTTCAATCCACCATGGCCCAAGGCAAGGTTTCTTCCAGGCTCTGTAAAGGCTGGGGGTTTCCCAGGCTTGCCTCAGTTTCCTCTTTTGTAAGCAAGGATAATCATAACACACCTCTAGGCTCGTAATCGTTCCCCTGTGAGAATGCATAGAACAGCTCCTGGCACACAGGGTACAGTCCATGTCAGCTGTCACAATTTTTTTAAAGCTTGTGTGTCTGTATCTTGTTACCAAAAGAGGTGATCATGAATTAAAACAATACGCTTTATTTTCTTTTTGGTTTTACAGCAAAACCTACGTGGTTCCCTTGCAGTGCAGCTGTCCTGTGGACTTCGAGTTCCATGTCATGTTGGTTCAGTCCCATCAAGCCTTTGCTGTTGAGCCGATGTCAGGTGAGAAGAGTCACAACTTCAAGTCTCCAATGTCCTCAGAGGCCTCGTGTCAAAGGCAGGGCTTGGAAAGTAGATCCCAGTTTCTGAAAGAAAACAAAATAAGCCATCCATGAATTGATTCTGTTTTCAAGTGTGTTGCAGTGACAAATTTTACATATCTGACATGCTGTAAATTAGAATTGGACATTTGGAATAATTTGTATCATGCAGGTAATTTATAATAATATCCAGGTAAGTTTTGCCCAAGGATCAAAAGTTAGTCCAGTCTAATTCTAATTTTGGCTCTTGGCTCATTGTTGGTTTTGTAGTCATTTTTAAATTTGATTTCAAATACAATGGCAATATGATTTCTTCCCAAGCTTTCAGAATCTTAATGAAGAGTCAAATGCATTTGTCTCATAAGAGGTGTGATTGTTGTCTTTATATGCTGGGAAGGACGTAGATCCCTTACATTTGAAAGTGAAATATCACACAGGAAGTGAATCCTGCTTCCCAGTTTCTATCTCTTGATGTTTATGTTTGGGATTTAAATATTTGTTCACACATGGTCTACTGTAAATGCTAAAGTTATTTATCTCATTTTGTTTTAAGCCTAGATACTTATTTGTTTGCAACTCTTTCATCATTGCAAGTACATATTTTGTCTAATAAATGAATGTTCAAAGCAGAAGATTTTTATTAATTCCAAGTTATGAAATGCATTTAGGTTATTTTCTACAGAACTAGGAACTATTCTGAGATTTTAAAAATATAATAGTTTATAGTGTAAAAAATTGGGTTTTATTTTCTTTCCAAAGAGATTTATTTTCAGCCTTAAAAAGGAGGGAAAATAAATGGTTACTCAGTTCACACTAAACAAGATAATATTTCAGATACATAAGTAAGTTATCCCCATAATTTATTCCCATAATAAGCCTTTTGTTAGAATAATAGTAGGAATTCTTACTTTGAGGTTATTATATGCTAGGTGCTATTCAGAGAGAGAGAGCTGACCCATTCTTAATGTCTGCTACAGCCATGTCAGGTCCATTTAATAGACATAAGAGCACCAAGGGGCTAGAAATACCTTGTCTGAGTCCCTAAGTAGTAAGTAAGTGGCAGAGGCAGGATTTGAACCCACTCACTTTGGCTCCAGAGCCTTGCACTGCCTTGTAAAGTGCAAGTTCACTTTTCATTTATTACCCCTGAAGAGGTAATAAATTTTTGCCCAAGGACACCTGTTGCTAAATTGAGCCGCTCCTTGATCTTGGTTTAGACTGTTTACAGAAGCAGAGATTCCAGTAAGAAAGAGGAGGTAGCACCGGCCCAGCCTGGGCTCCCTGATATCACTGGAGCTCTGGGATTATCTTCGAGAGTCACAGTCTCAGTCAGATCCAGATTAGTCCTAGTGAAGGGTGTCAGGGTCTTATCAAGTAGCATCGCTGAGGACTGGTGAGAATAGGGGTAGAGGAGAGTCTAACACCAGATGGAGGGCTTTAGCAGACCAGTGTTCCCTAATACTGACTACTTGGGAAGATTATAAACCCCAGGGATCCTTCCCTGATCACTTGGAGTTAGTGAATCTTGGCAGGGCCTGGCTTTCTGTACTTTTAAACAAGCACCTCCATGTGATTCCAACAGGGATGTTCTTAGAGTGGTGCTTTGAGAATGACTGGACTAGTTTGACCTGTAGGTCCTAACCCTCATCATCTGCACTTCTGTTATATATTCCATAGCGGGAAGGGAATAGCTAAGATTTCTGAGCAGTCATGATGGGAGCTAGTTTTTAGACAGGCCAGGGTAGCCACAGTGCTCAGGGTCTCTGGGGTGGATACAGACAAGAGACTGGGAAATCATAGTGCTGGGATGAAATTATATCATCCTGAGATACTGAACCAAACTGGAGTGAACAGGAGGGAAAGGAAGAGAAACTGAAGAGCTGATGGCCTGGCCTAACTTATTCCATTATTAAGTCTACTCTGCTCTGACTCTGAGGCACAGGGTGTTCAGGTAAGTAGCCCAAGGGCATGCAGTGCTAAGTGGCAGAGCTGTGTTCAAGCATCCTGGGAGAATGTCACCCTCACTGCCCTGTGCTCACAGAGGAGTCACTGATTCATCCTGTTGTGTGCTGACATGAGAGGTCACTCTATCCCTCCCTGACATGTCACCTCCAGCCACCTTCTGAAGCAGGTTCAGGGTCATAGACAATAGCATTGGCCTGGGAGCAGAGCTGCTTCCTTGGATCTTGCCCTGCTAGTCTATGATGTTGAGGTCAGGTCTCCCTTGTCACTATCCTGCTTCACCAGGGCCATCCCCACTCCTACATTTTGTCACTTTTACTAAAGGGTAGCTGTGCATATTTTTCAAGATTCTATTCTTACTTTTGGGGAAAGCTGTACCCTCCTGTTCCCAGTGTGCTCCATGCCTCAGTTTACAGTTTGCTAGTCATGCTTCTTATTTGTGCTTTGAGGCTGTAGTCATTTCCTTTATTTTAATAAAGTTTTTTTCCTCTCCACTTTCCTCCTTTTATCCCTATTTTTGAAGTTATAAAGGAGTGTAATAGAGTTAGAAGGTTTACTTCTGCTGGACATCCCAGCACTAGGGAGGCTGAGACAAGAGGATCAAAAGTTTGAGGCCAGCCTGTACTACATAGAGAGACCCTGTATTGGGAAGAAAAGTAAACAAGTGCTCTGGGGTTGGTTTCTGCAGAATTTGGTTCCTCTCCTGTGGCCTTGCAATATCCATCCATCCATCCCGTAAATAGCTACTGAGCAACTGTGGATCATCAGACACTGTCCTCGGCCCTGGGGACCAGAGAGCACAGAGAGACACACAGTCCCTGCTGTGCTAGAGGTGCAACATGGGGGGGAGACAGGGACACAAAGACAGACACAGCATGAAATAAAAATGCTTAAGACAGAAGCTGGTGTCACTTGGGTGGTCAGGAGTCTCCCTGGGGAAAGTCCCTTTAGACCTGACTGACAAAAGAGGTGTCAGACTTGGGAAGCCCTGAGGTGAGGAAGCAACACAGGCAAGAGGCTGGCCCAGGCAAGGCCTGGTCACATTCAAGGGACAGGAAGGCCCAGGAGGCTGAAGGGGCGAGCAGGGGAGGGGAGGAGAGGGGAGCAAGGTGCAAGACCCAGCTGGGGAGGCCGGTGGGGGTTCCAGGAGGGATCTTGGGTTTGGTTCTGAGTGGATAGGAGTCCACTGGAGGTTTTCTAGCAGGGGTGCAGTGTGCATTCTTAGAAAGGAGGCTGATGGCTTGGATGGGCAGTGACCTTGGAGACGGCTGGAGGTGGATGGTGGAGTGGACAGTGCAGAAGGGCAGAGCAAGGCTGGTGGGTCAGGAGGTGGCTCCTGGCTCCAGCTCAAGCCATGCGTGGACAGGGGTGGCATGCAATGTGCTTCACTTGGGAAGGGCTTCCTGTGTAGTGCCTTTGCCCTCCACAGGTCCTGTCTTTATGGTACTGGACACGGGGCTGTTACAGTATGCTGCGTTCATTGTCCTCCTTCCATCAGGTCAGATGCTGAGCTGGCTCAATTTCCAGCCTCCCACTGGGACTCCTCAGTTTCCTATGCACTCAGGCAGAGCCCCGGGCTATCCTGGTCTCTCGCTCCTAATGTGTACATTCGGGGTGTTTGATGCAGGGAGGAAAAAGGAAAGGTAGTAGACTTAATTTTGCCAGTTATTTCTAGCTCTGATCAAAAAGGTCGCTGAAGGGCGAATGAAAGTAAAGGTCATCATAAGTGCCAGCACTCATTAGCCACGTGTGCCTCCACCTGCTGAGATGGGATGGGAGTTCATTCCTAGAAGCTTAGAAGTCAGCATGCATCCAGAATCTGCAGGGCTTCTGCATCACCTCCCCATGACAAGTCTCCGGCCCTAATTTTAAAATAGGCCATGCTAGAGGCAGCCTGGGTGTTGTCTTCTGACTGACACATTGGCACCTGTGAAGGAAAGGACACCTGTGAAATTCACACCATAGCATGGCATTGGGCAGCAATTGCCTCTTCCTTTTTAAGAACTCAAATGGCTCAAGTGTAAGTTTTCCTAAGGCATATCCTTTTGTGGACTGGTGGAGTGACTCAAGCAGTAAGAACAGCGTCTGCCTCATAAGCATGAGGCCCCAAGTCCAAACCGTAGTACTGCCAAAAAAAAAAGTTTCCTCCTTCTGACACTTCAATAATTATTTAATCACAGTAAATTATCACTTGTTTATGTAGCATAAACACTGGAAAGGCCACATTTATAGGACATACACTATACCAAACATTATCCCAGACCCTGTAGGTTGTTTTCTCCTTTAAGCTTTGTCCCATTTTACAGATGAGAAAACTGAGCCAAAGATATCCAAGCTAAGACACACAGCTCCTGCGTGTTCAAATGGAGCTGTGAATCGGGGTCTTTGTGGTCCCTAGAGTTTTTCTCCTGCCCCACACCCTAGGCAACCATGGTGGCCTTGACCTCCAATGTGAGCCAGAGGGTAACCCTCCCTCTTGGAACCTTCCCTCTGTAACCCAGTGAATCAAAGGCATTGCTAGAATTTGTTATCAGCTGGCTCATGTTTTTTAAACAGTGTAACTGTTAATTGCCCAGCTGAAGTTTAAGGAGATTAAGTAGTTTACCCCAAATTTCACAGTTAGTAGAACTCTAAATCTTGGAAGGTTAAAAACAATCCTTACTAATGCTTGAAGCATGTGAGTTGGAGGGCTCTTTGACAATTCTGGGAGAATAAGCTGTACTTTCTGAGATGTTTGGAGGGCACGTTGTTTTAAAATTGTAAGATCATCAATACTGATGATCTCACTTATGTGTGAAATCTGAACATTTTGATCTCATAGAAGCAGAAAGTAGAATACTGGTTACCAGAAGCTGGGGAGGGGAGGAGGGGATGGTGAACAAGCGCAGAGTTCCAGTTGGGGAGCAGATTCTGGTGTTCTATTGCGCAGTGGGGTGACTGTGGTAATAATGCTTTGTGTTCTTCAAAATAGCTAGGCTAGAGCTTTTCTAACGCTTCACCACAAAGAAGCAGTAAAATGTTTGACACGCAGTGTACGCATTAGACAATACTGTATCAATCAAAACCAAACTAAGACTTTAAAAATTATAAAATGGCACGGACATGTAAGAAAGAAAACATCTTTCTAAGTCATCCCCAACCTGGACCTTACTGCTCTAGAAAATAATGTGCTTTTGTTTTTCCATCTTCCACACCCATGCACGTTTTATATCCTCGTAATCTAGAAAACACACGGTAATATTTCCTGGTGCTGGCTTCATGTGTCATTGTGGCATCCTTCAGTGTTGTCACATCTTCTTCATAATACTTATTGTATCGATGATGTAGAGTTTTATGGGGTTTCCTGGCCTTTGGTTCATTTCCTCTTTTTTCTTTTCTTTTTTTTTTGAGACAGGATCTTGCTACCTAGCCCAGACTGGCCTTCAACTTGGGACCCTCCTGCCTCAACTCCTGTTTCCCTTAAGTTTGGTTCTCCCCTCCCAGTCTCTGCTACCACCCTCCCTACCCTGTGATTTAACATTTATCCCTGATTACCCCAAGGGTAGCCATCTGAAATTGACCCCAGATGAAACTGGGCTAGAGCCAGAAAGCAGTGCTTTGGGCGTTTTCCACTGAAGTTATCATTTTTCGGGCAGGTACCTTTCTTACTTTTAAAACTTGGAACAGCCTCTCTTTTGTATCCCTGTGAATTTTTGCCAGGCAGTAAGCTGTGACTGACTGTGTGACACACCTTTGATAGCTGTTAACATTGAATGGCCAGCTGCCACTGTGCTCTGGTAACAGAGCTGAGCTGACTGGCATCCCTGCTAATGGACAAAGTGGTTTTCTCTGGTTGCCGGGACTCCATCTCCACAGTGTGTTTTATGTATTAGGTTTGGGCTGGGAGCTCTCGGAAATAAATCAGCCAGGCCGAGGCAAACAGTCATCCTTGCTCCAGAGGAGATTTTTTAAGCTAACATGCTGGAGCAGAAGCAATAGAATGATCTTGGTCTTAAGCCCTCAGCGAACCATGGGTCTGGAGAAGCAGTGGGCAAGGCTTCGAAGCCCACTGCATCATGGACGGTCAGGCTTCTACTCGGTTGACCTTGGTTGGCTGTCAGATCCAAGCTGTTCTGCTGGTCCATTCTGCCCAGCCCTTGGCTTGCTGGTCACTAGTGGGTGTTATTTCACAGTTTTGACCTCTGTGCTCAGGAAATTGGCAAATACCTATTTCTAAAGTTCCGTGGGACCCAGGGTGGTAAAAATCACTGTGGGGCTGGGATCTGCCTCTGGGGCTTGTAGTCTAACTGGGAGGCATGTGTTTAAAGGGGAACAATTTGCTAGGATGCGTTTCATGGACTCGTGTGCATGTAGGAGAGCAAAGCTTCTAGTGGGTGGAGAGGCAGGAGGAATCCCTGTGGGTGTGGGATGAAGAAGGCTGGAGGGTGCAGGTTCATTCACATGCTCAACAGCATTTATTGAGCTGGGAAAGCAGAGCTGTACAGGTGCCTATGTTCCTAAAACTTACCTTCTAGCCCAGGGGAAGGCAAACTGTTGAGGACACCATTTCAGGGAGAAAGAAGAGCCTCTAAAAAGTCTTGAGGCAGCATTCCAGGCCTAGGGAACAGCAAGTGGCAAGATCCCAGGTAGCATGAGCCAGAGTTTGGGGATTAGAGCGAAGGCCAAATCTTCCTCAGTTCTCTGCCCAAAGTGTCTTTCACCAGGACCCTGCTTCAGTTTTCTTGTGAGTATTCATGACTTAACTTTGTGTTTTATATTCATTTGCTTCTCTTTGTTTGCCAGCCCCAACTAGAATGTAAACTTCATGACATTTTGGGGCTTTTCTTTGTTTATTGCTATATCTACAAGTACCTAAAGTGGTGCCAGGCACACGGTGAGTGATGAATAAATGCTTGAATAATAAATGCGTGAGTGTTCTATGTGGTTGAGCATAGAGAAGGAAAAGAGAGAGTGGCACAAGATTCAGAAAAGGGTGGCAGTGGGGAGGAGGGCAGGCCAGGTACTGGGGAGGGATTGAGTGAGGGCTGTGTGGGGACAGTAGAAAGATAGGTACTGGGGGCAGGAGATCTCATGTAGGAAGAAAACCAAGGAGACTCCAGCAGAAGTAACAGCATGACTATCACACCTACTGCATTCATCTTCCATCCCTTCTATTTTCTTCCTGTTTTAGGGAAGTAATTACTGTGATCCAAGCCTGGCACCAGAGACACAAAGGAGCAATAAGGCAGGGTTTGGTATTTGCTCTTGGGAGAAACTGAGCTCATCTTCAATATTTAAGGAGGGGAGTGGGAGCGTAGCTCAGTGGTAGAGCACTGGGCAAGGCCCTGGCTTCCATCCTCAGCACTGAAAGAGGAAAAAAAAAGATTTGAAAGGAGAGAATCAAAGTATTCAGAAACATAGTTCTCCATATCAGTAGTCGTAGCTACCTTGACACAAACTTTTATGTGTGTCCCTAGCTTTTCCTTGCAGCATTGACTAGTAATTTACTTGGAGATTACTGTTCTGGGAATTTGTATTTGAACCACTAATGTAGATTGATATGGACATATTTATATAATTGACACAATCAAGTAAATATTATAAATGACTGAAGTAGTCATCAGTAGATAAGATCCATGTAAACATACAGATGTTGATTCTTCTGCATTTTGTGAAAAGACTGTGTAGAGATCATAGAAATATTTGTGCCTATCCTGGGAAGAATGTATTTATGTGTCCACACCCTTGACAGTACTTTTTTTTTCCCCTCATTTCTTTCCCTTCAGGAATAATTCCAGCTAATGGGAAGATGAATGTGACCATCAAGTTTACACCCTTCCAGTATGGGACAGCACAAATGAGAATGCAGTTATGGATCTCACAGTTCAACTCTCAGCCGTACGAGTGCACCTTCACTGGAACGTGCTACCCCAACATGGCCTTACCGTATGACTTCTGTGGAATGTTCCTGTTTGTTCTCAATAGTTTTTCAAAAACCCATGTCTTTCTTCCTTCCATTCTGTGTCTCTTTTTTGTAACAGAATACCATCAAAAACTTATTTTAGGACTGGGGATGTAGCTTCATGGTAGACCTCTTGCCTATCATGGGCAAGGCCCTGGGTTCAAGCCCCAATGCCAAAAAAAAAAAAAAAGGAAAAAAAACAGAACTTATTTTAAATGATAAGCCTCCATGAAATAAGTTTTAAAATATAATAGTGTTATCTCTATGCTGGTAGCAAAGTTGCTTCTGCCAAGAGGAGAAGAAATGACTGAGAGAAGGGGACCTCTGAGGAATACTTTCTCCCATAACCTCTGCTGGTGTGCTCTTTGGTTTTTGGCCATGTGCACTCATTGCTGCCTTTCCAAAGTCTGAATCATACATGGTCAGAACAACAGAACGATTTCTGAAGTTTCCACGTGACATTACTCTCTGCTGAGTGTCTGCTTTGTATGGTGCCTGTCACAAAGCCCCATGGGAAATGGCCCCAAATAAATCCTCTGCATCCAGTGATTTCCATAGGCAGAGTCAGAAATGGGCCACACAGAAGGAGTTTTCAGGAGTGAAGATGTGCAATGGGATTGTATTTTACTTCAGAACAGATCTTTCTTGAACTTCCATATCCATTTGAAAATGAGCTTGAACTTTTTCATCACAATACTTCTGATTAATATTATATGTTTTATTATAATATGCTTGGTTTTTATAAAAAGATTAAAGGAAAAGATGCCACAATTATTTTGACAATGATAAACAAATGTCTTGATTTGCCTTCTCTTCACACACAGATGCGATATATCATACTAACATCATTCCACATATTAAAAGCAGAGAAAAACCTTGTGGTGGTGCATGCCTGTAATCCCAGCTTCTCAGGAGGTGGAAGCAGGAGGGCAGCCCAGGAAAAGTTAGGGCGATCCTATCTCAAAAACAAAGTACAAACAAAAGGGCTAGGGATGTGGTCCAAGTGATGGAGCACGTGCCTGGCACGCGTGAGGCCCCTGGTTCAATCAAAACTAAAAGTGGAGAAACAACTTTATGTCTACATAAAGTTGACATAGAACTAACTCTGCAATTTATGATACTTTCATATCATGATTTTATTCCTAAGAACTCAAAGCAGCCAAAGTCAGCTATGAGATATTAGTGTGACCTATTGAACCCAAATCCTACAAGAAACCATGGTAGCAATAAAATCATTCTGACAATAAAGAAATGGAATTGGTGCAAATAAAAGCAATGCTAGTTTTTCTGGTGTCAGAAAACTGGGCCAACAAAATGCCATTTGCCATCTCCTGTCACATGTGCCCACATTCAAGTGACTTTCTCAAAGATGTCACTCCATGAGAGTTTATTTTCATATCCTCCCATAAATGAGTTCTTGTTTTTATTATAATTAATTTATTTTTTTGGTGCTGGGATTCAGCCCACATGCTGAGCATTAACTCTACCACTGAGCTACACCTACCTGCCCAGATGTGTTCTTAAATACAGGAGAGCACCATCAAGCACAGGCATACACTATTTCTGACTTTTTTTTTTTTTGGCAGTACTGGGGTTTGAACTCAGGGCCTCACGCTTGCTGAGCAGGCACTCTACCACCTGAGCCACTCTTCCAGCCCTCTTTTGTGATGGGTATTTTCAAGATAGGATCTCATGAACTAATTGTCTGGGGCTAGTTTCGAACCTTGATCCTCCTGATCTCTGCCTCCTGAGGATTACTGGTGTAAACCACTGGGGCCCTACTTTCTTTTTTTTTAGCAGTGCTGGGGTTGAACTCAGGGCTTTGCACTTGTGAGGCAGGTGCTTCACCACTTGATTCACACTTCCAGCCCCTTCTGCTCTAGTTATTTTGGAGGCTTCCCCACACACACCCCCACCCAGGCCAGCCTGGATCTCAGTCCTCCTATTTTAGGCTTCCACCATGCTGGGATGACAGACATGTGCCACCACACTTAGCCGTTTTCTGTTCAGATGGGGGTCTTGTGAACTTTTTCCTGCTTCCCACCCCCAGGGCCTTGAACCACAATCTTCCCAATCTCAGCCTCTCACGTGCTGGCATTACAGACGTGAGCCATCCTGGTTCACTCTTTCTAAACTATGATGCTTTGGTTTCCTACCTAGAGTTTAATTATATAGTACACTGTTACATTTTCAGGGAGTGTATCTCCACACCTATGCGTCTCCTCAAACTGCAAACAGTGCCATAGCATATGAATCCCACAGGAAGGGGAAAAATGAGACTGGCTGCAGCGTTCACTCAAATCTTCATAGACTGCTTTCTCTGTTTCAGTGTGGGACTTACTCATGTCCTACATTTGGCCAGACTCCAAGTGCAAGTCTTTACTTGCTCACATCCTTAGACCTCTCCATCTCCTTTGCCAATACTGGCGATTAGAGTTCTTTGGAAAGCTGGTTTTTGTGGCACCACCCCCACAAAGGTTTTGTTGTTCCCCAATATTTACGCAGGGTGGTATCAAATGTTTGTACGATTTGGATACAGCACTGTCCTCGCTAAGCCCTCAAGCTTGCACATTGGATCCTGGTGGTCACTGTGTGTCAGGGGGCAGCTCTCCTGGGCCATGGACCTCAAGGCTGCTCTTGTATCAAATTTGAGATGGTAGCAGGTTCTGCATAATGCTTGCAAGTGCACACGGACTGCCAGAATGAGTGCACATTAGGCCATCCTCAGCTTATTTCTAGAATGCCATAGAAAAGAAGAGCTTATCCTGGAAAACAAGTTTGTTTGAAGAGGTAGCATCGCTGACTGTGCACAGTTGTGCATCTCATGGCTTCTGCAGGCTCGGCTGCAGTGTCTCTACCTAACTGTTCAAGGGCAGTTTTCAGAAAACACGCTAAACATTGCACTGGATCTCTTTCTTAGAAAGTCCTTGCTACCAGTATAAGATCTTTTAAAATGTAATCGATTTAGCTGGCAAAAACCTACATCCTAGAAATGAATTTTGCTAGATCATGAGAGCATTTGTCAGCTTGTCACATTTTCTACTCATATTCCTTAAGAATGTAAGGAAGGGGCCGGGGAGTGGCTCAAGTGGTAGAGAGCCTGCCTAGCAAGTATGAGGCCCTGAGTTCAAATCCCAGTGCTGCCAAAAAAAAAATAAGGAAAAACAACCATTGGTAGTCTATTTATACATATGTGTATATGTATATTTAAATATATACACACATATATTTATACACTGATATACTGACACTGAATTTATTTTAGTGGGTCATTACTTTGGCACGCAGAATTATTTTCAGTTCAGGTATAATAATAGGTTTCAAGTCCTGGTATTATCAGAAGGAACATAAGAATAGAAACCTGGAGTGATTGACTTATATACTAATTTAATATCTGTTTTAAACTATAGATTAGAAGAATTTAAAAGATTAAATACTCTTTCTAAGAAAATAAACGTTCCTCGAGAAAAAACAATGCTATCCATAAATTTTCACCAACTACCAACAAAGACAAAACCTCCAAAGATGAAGGTGAGGCAGGCTTAGTCCTCAGCATGGTGGGAGGGATGATGCAGTACCCCAGGAACTAATCTTCCTCCTGACTTGATCCTCAGGAAATTGAGTACCAGAACCTGAGATTCCCAGCAGATCTATCTAATCCATTTGCTGTGGCAACTGTGTTAAACCAAGAACCAGGAAAATGAAGATTAAAGAATTAAGAGAAGGTAACACATTAACCCACCAGCAATCAGTCCCTGGGCAGATATGAAAGAATTATTCCTTGTCACATCCATTATTTATGAGCTACCAAACTCAGTTAGAAAGGTGCTTACCTCCTGGCAAATGGCTGTGATTGGATTACTGGAATGAGTGTTTTTGTCCCTGCCTCCAGTGTTGGACCAAGGCACTGAGATTTCAAGAACAAGACAGATGAAGGAGGCTCTGTTCGAACAGAAAGTCAGACAGGATGTTCAGAAAGAGACAGAAAATCATCTTAAGTGGTAAATATTGAGCAATTATTCGTATCAAGTGACAGTATGATTGCTTTCTGAGGATGACCTCGTATGCACAAGACACAATGAAACGTAATCATTTTTATTCCCTTTGGAGAATTTGATTATTCTTTCCCCTCCCATGGTCTTATTATTTCAGAATGAGTGTCTATTAGGAACAAATTAATGTGACCAAGCCATGCTGTTTCCTAAGTGTGAGGGGATAGTGCAGAGCCAGAGTGGATTGTGGGAGACACTGGGACCCTGCTGTCCAATTCCAGGACAGATCTGGGGTGGCTCAGGCACCTCAGATCTCACCCTGTCACCCCTTAACCCCTCATGAGTCCCTGGGCCCAGGAACCTTCTGCAGAGACTGGCAGTTAAAGAACGGTCCTGGTGGTTAAAACTCAGATGTGAGAATTCTGCTGCTTATGTGTTAAGAGTCAGCTGAAGTAAACTTTTGGTTTGGTTTTTTGTTTGTTTGTTTTGTGGTACTGGGGCTTGAACTCAGGGCCTTCACCTTGAGCCACTCCACAGCCTTTCTTTGTGATGGTTTTTTTCGAGATAGGGTCTCAAAAACTGTTTGCTGGGGTTGGCTTTGAGCAGGGATCCTCCTGATCTCTGCCTCCTGAGTAGCTAGGATTACAGGCGTGAGTCACTGGTGCCGAGCATGTTTTTTGCTGTTGTTGTTTGTTTGTTTAAGACAAATTCTCATCCAGGCCAGCCTCGAATTCCTGGGCTCAAGCAATCCTCCTGCCTCAACTTCTTGAGTATTAAGACTAAAGTAAACTTCAAAAACTTTTCTTTTCTTGGCTGTACTGGGGTTTGAACTCAGGGCCTGGAGCTTGCTAGGCAAGTACTCTGCCACCTAAGCCATGCCCCCAGTCTTTTTTCAATTTAGTTATTTTTTGGATAGAGTCTCACATTTTTGTTCAGGATGGACTTAGACCATGATTCTCCTACCTATGCCTCCCACATAACTGGAATCATAGGCGTGCATCACTACACCCAGCTTCTTTGTTGAGATGGGGATCTCACTAACATTTTGCCTGGACTGGCCTCAGACCTCAGTTTTACTAATCTCTGCCTCCCAAGTGGCTGGGATTACAGGTGTGAGCCACCACACCAGGCCCTTCAGAAATTCTTGGACTAAGCTAAGAAAGAGACTCCTGGAAAGTGTCACTGAGAGACTGTCTGACCCAGGTCTGCCTTCATGCTTCCCAGACGCACAGGAACATGCTTGACCTTGAAAACCCTGGAGGAGGTGTCTACCATGCTGATGCCCTATTTAAATGGGAAAATGGATTTTTCTTTGACAGAAATCCAGTCTGCTTCAGCTGAAGTCAGTATTCCTGGTTTGCTCTCACTTCAATGGGAAGTACTCAAGAATCTAAAGACTTCATTTTTTAAAATGTTTTTCCTATTGTGAAAAATGGATACACTGCCACTATAGGAAACCATAAAAAATACTTTTTAAAACTAGATAGAAGGAAGCCCCGTACAGTGGTGCATGCCTGTAATCCCAGCACTCAGGAGTGAGGCAGGAGGATCACGAGTTCAAGTTTGAGGCCAGCCTGTGTTACATGGTGAGTTCAAGCCCAGCCCAAGGTACTACATGGAGAAACCCTGCCTCAAAAAAAGAATTACAGAGAAGGAAAAACACCCCTAATGCCACCGCTGGACAATGATCACACTAACACTGGGCACTCTTTGCTTCTTTGTAACATACTTGAAATCTCATCTTAAATCCCATTCCTAGCACTGTTGTTCTCAGCTTTTTATGGTAAAAGATAGTAAGCCTGCATGGAACACCAATATACTCTTGACCTTGGCTCAGAAGTTGTTAACTCGATGCTGGAGCCACTTCCCCTCGCTCTGCACACACATGTGCACATGCTGTGGACACGCACCAGCACGCATGCTTTGTTCCCTGAGGCCTTTGAAGTCAAATTGCAAACATTAGAACGTTCCACCCCAAAACATTTTAGCATGGGACTCCTAACAACGAGGACATGCTCCCACAGTACCACGATTATTTCCAAGAAACTTAACACTGATAGAGCAGTGGCATCAGGTAACAGTCAGTCTGTAGACAAACGCACCCAGTTTTCTCAAAAATGTCCTTGAGATTTGGTGTGTGGTGGGGAGGGCTATTGTGTTTTTTGGGTTTGGGGGATTTAGTTTTTTTGGTTTGGGGGTTTTCTGGTTTTGGAGAGCGGGATCCAAGGTCTAACCAAAAGTCAAAGATCATTAATTTGTATTTAGTCTCCATGACACACCCCACTTTTAAATCATTGCTGCTATTTATTCTAGGTTCCATGATGGATACATTACATGCTAGATTTTTTTAACAATTGTTGGTAAAGCTCACATAATATAAAATTCACCATTTTAATCACTTTAAAGTAGATAGTGCAGAGGTTTTCAGTATATTCATAACGTCTGCATTACTAATGCCACAACATTCTCATCACTCCAAGAAAGAAGCCCTGTGCTCACTAACGTCTCTCCCCTCTCCCTGCTCCTACAGCCCTCGGCCACCACTTGTGCACCTGAGTCTATGGATTGCCTGTTCTGGGTGTTTTGTATAAATGAAATCACGTAGTCTTTTGTGACTGGCTTCTGTCACTTAACAAATTTTCAAGGTTTGTCTGCATCACAGCCTGTGAAGTATTAGTACTTCGTTCCTGTTAATGGCAGCATATATTCTGTTGTCTGCATATACCACATTTTGGGTCTTCATTCATCCATTAACAGCCATTTTAATAGGTTTCCACTCTCGGCTATTCTGAATAATGTTACTATACGCATTTACATACATGTTTTTATGTGAACATATCTTTTCAGTTCTCTTGGTTATATACCTAGGAGCAAAACTGCTGTCCGTGGTAATTCCAGATTCCACTTTTTGAGGACACACCAAACTGCTTTCCACAGTGACTGCACCAGCAACGCGGGAGGGTTCCAGTCTGTCCACACCTTCAGTGATACCTGTGATTTCCATTATTTTAACAATTATTATTATTATTATTATCTTAGCCATCCCAGGAGGTATGCAGTGATATATCATATGGTTTTGATCTGAATTTTGTGAATGTCTAGTGATGTTAATCATTAGTCATTTACAAATATTGTCATTCACAAATATTTACCATGTGCCTCAGAAGATAAACTTCGTTTTGTAGGACTTGTTATTCACCCAAGCCTGAGCCTCATTGCTGAGGCCACTACAGTCTCTCTCCCCCAGGGAACTTCCCTCACCACCTCAGTGTCCCTTTTTGATTGTACAATACAGCAGAGACATTTCCTCCTAAACCTGATTGGGTTTGTTTTGTTTTGTTTGTGTCCTGGGGTTTGAATTCAGGGCCTTGTGCTTGCTAGGCAGGCCCTCTACCACTTGAGCCATGCTCCTAGTCCATTTGCTTTTAAAGGTTCTTTTTCAGATAGGGTCTCCAGCTGACTTTGCCTGGACCAGCCTCTAACTGCAATCTTCCTGCCTCTGCCTCCCGAGTAGCTGGGACCATAGGCATGAGCCACCAAACCCAGCTTGATTATGCTTTCTGATGGCTTCTGGAAATTGGCTTTTTTCTCTCCAGGCAGGTGCACCTTGGTAAAGATCATATGTCTTTTAAGTTTAGAAAGGAGCTTGCTGAAGACTGGCAAAGAATGTGCAACAAATACAAGGTCAGAGTGGCAGTTAATTTGGTAGTATTTGTTTCACTAAATGTTTTGATTCCATTGCATGCAAGATGCCAAACTGGGAGAAAGAAAAGATGTAGTTAGGCTGGGAGGGGAGGAGGCTGGTGACAAGTCAATTGCTAACTGTAAGTCCAGGATGGCTTCTAAGGCACCGATACTGTATATTGTACGTGAATTCCAAGGCCAGAGAGGAAAGAGAACTCACTGAGTTGGATAGCTTCCTGGAAGACAGTGCAATCCTGAGATTTAGTAAAGAGGACAAAAACATTCAGCTGAAGAGAGTGGCTGAAATTCGGGCTGTAGTTCTGGGGTGAGGTGCATCTTTCCCATGGTCTGCAGAGCATGAAGACAAGGGAGTCCTGGGAGCCACCCCAGAGCCGGATCCAAACAACAGTCCCAACTGAGAGGCATCAAAGGGACTGAGCAAAGCGGGGGAGGAAGCTGGGCTGGGGTGAGGGCCTTCACTGGGACACCAGCCAGCACCTGTGGTCTCAGCAACAGGAACTATGGGATCTGGCATGGAGATGGTTTTTACCTGCAGTACAGATGCCGAGGGCACTGGGGACAAGCTCAGGGTGGCTGAAGCACAGAACATACACATGAGGGAGAATGGATAGGACTCGGCCAGGGCTCCATGTCTGGGAGCTTTGGGCATCATTTGTAGGACTTTTGCAATAGTCTGCTCAGGCTGCCTTTACAAAGTACCACTGGCTGGGGGACTGGAATGAGAGAAATCTGTTCCAGAGATCAAGGTGTTGACAGGGTTAGTTACTGAGTCCTCTCTCTTGGCTCTCAGATGGCCATCACCTTTCTGTGTCCTTGGGTGATCTCCTTGTGTATGTCTGTCCTAATCTCCTCTTCTTAGAAGGACACCAATTACAGTAGATTGGGACATACTCTAATGGGTTCATTTTAACTGGTCACCTCTTTAAAGACTCCCTCCAGTCACATGCTGAGGTGCTGGGGCCAAGGACACCAACCTAAGAGTTGTGGGGGACACAGTGCACCCCATAGCAGGTACTGAAGCTTGGTGGTGTGAGCTTCAGGGAGCTAACGTGGTGGCAGTGAGGAAGAGAGATTAGGGAAAAACATGTCTTGTCCCATGTCTCATTTTTCTTTTTAGATTTGGAGTCCATCCAGATGTTTGGATAAATGTGTCTTATTTTTCATTTTCCATAAGACAAACAAAAGCTATAAAAGTACTGCCTTGGTAAATCTTCAAATCTATATATGGAAAGACATATATTAGATTATCATTTAAATGTGTTGCTTAGATTCTTTGCAAGCTATTTTAAAAGCAAAATGTCAAGTGTTTTCTATCAAGCCCACCATGGAATGCTCCCCCTTTTAAAGATAAAGGTGATCTAGACCCCATGGCCAGATCAGGGGGAACATTTAGGCTCTGAGTCACCACTCAGACATGTCACCAGACAAGTCACCAGACATGTGCCTTGTCTGGCTCACCCAGACTAAGGGAAGGGTGAGCAGGCAGCCCTGGGGACCAGGGTGTGGGAGGCAATTGTCATGGGGACACTGAGTTGAACCCCAGCAGGTGACCCATTGGCCAGAAACACCTGGAGGCCTGAAGCATGGGCAGAACGTTGAGAATCAGAGATGGCTGAGAACCAGGAGGGAGTTGGCATCATAGCTGGTCGGTGCAGAGGGGAGACAGTGGGTGATGTTGACTCTGAAATGATTATCAAACATAAGAAGATGAGAAGGTAGTCTACCCGATAACCTTTGTGCCAGTCCTCTCTTTAAGCTGCCAAAAATTTTATTTTACCCTTAGTGATGAGGGGAAGGATCTGGGTATTCCCCCATGAAATCTGAATTTGAACTTGAGATCCACAGTCTCAAACTCATCTTCCTGAAACACGCAAACCAGAGCTAGACCAGTCACCACCTTAGTGACAACAACACTCCTACCATATTTCTTTCTTTCTTTTTTTGAACTCAGGACCTCCCACTGGTTCAGGTACTCTAGCACTTGAGCCATACCTCCAGCCCTTTTTCACTTCATTTTTCAGATAAGGTCTTGTGGTTTTGCCCAGGCCAGACTCATACCTCAACCCTCCTACCTATGCCTCCAGAGTAGTTGGGATTACAGATGTGAGCCATGACACCCCGCCTACTCCTGTCTTATTTCCGAATAGGGTATCAATGTGATTATTAGAATAGATTTCTTCCAATTAAGTCTTTAGAAATGACTGTGAACAGTGTACCCAAGAGCAAAGCTAGTTTTCAAAGTTACCCAACGAGGGCTGGGGTATGGCTCAAGTGGTAGAGCAGCAGTCTTGCAAGCCTAAGGCCCTGAGTTCAAACCCCATACTGCCAAAAAAAAAAAAATTACTTTCTCAAAGTTACCCAACGAACAAATAATAGAACCCACAGAGAGTCAAAAAAAATTAGTAACATCTGTGGCGTGCACGGGCTTCTTTCCATTGATAAAGATATAGGTCCAGCTCAGCCAGCCTACCTCTAGGGTCACCTGTGGCTCCTAGGACTAGGAAAGAGAGCCTAGGAGACATCCATGGGCAGATGGGGGGAGGAGAGCATTCAGGGACACTTACTCCAGGCCAGGCACCAGTCACTCTTCAGCCACAAAAGACCCATCCATCTCCACCACCCAGGAAGGGAGGAATTACCACAGTGCTTCCTTAAGACCAGCCACGTGGATAATCACCCCTAAGGGGCTTAAAACTTCACTGGGACACTACATTTCTTTTCAACGAAGTGTATAATGCACATATTCCCATAGTGGTGGTGTCTCCGGCAGCCCTTTCTGCATTTCAAGTGCCTTGGAAATAATAATTTCCAGAAATACTGCCCACTAGTCACTTTTTTGAAAAAAAAAAGAGCAAGGTCCTGGGTCTGTGTTTCTATAAAAGCTCCTGTATCTGGTAGTAAATAATTACAATGAGTGTTTCAATCTACTTGCATCCCCACCACTCCCAACTCTAAAGAACTCCACAGGAGGACTTAACAGTTGCTTACTGGGTTTTTACCAGTTTTAAAGAGAAATAAGAGTTTGTGCATTTGTCTTCAAATCTAATATTTTTGACAATGAAAATCCCAGCTAGATAAAAGAGATCCTATTTTGGATGAGGAATTTCACCGAATCAAGACAGAAGTTGGCCATGAACGGGTCATTCGAGACCTGGAGGAGGTAGGTGTCTTCCTTTTGTCTGTAATCTAATGATTGGCAGTTCTTTAAATGCTTGCTTCTAAAAATTCTAAACAATTTTGTAGATTCCTTCACCAAGAGATAGCTGATCATGTGTCATATACTTTTTTAATACGTGTTCTGAAAAGCATCAAAACTCTTAGTGAAAGTTTCTCTTCAAATTGGCAGCATCAGCATCCTACACTGTGGCTCCTCCCTTCTGCTCCACCTCTTTTTCTTCCTTTTTTTTTTTTTTTTTTTTGCCTCCCTTTGATCGCCACAGCATAGGGAGGTCCTCTAGGTGGGTCCCTGACCTCTGTTCACTGCCTCCTTCCCCTTGGTGGAAAGAAGGCAAGACCGGAAGGCAGAAGCCTGAGTTCTGGTTCCAACTCTGTGGCAGAGCTGGGACCCAAAACAAGCCTCTTAGCTGTGACATGTGACATAGCCCCTCCACCTGCTCCATTGTCTAACATTTTCTGGTTAAAACTCCAGCTTTTGATCTTAACAATGAAAATTATTTTTTCCTAATCTCCCCCACCTTGTGTTATTCTTACTCTTCTGTCCTGGGTTTGCCATGTTTGAGTTACTTTTTTACCTCTTTCCTGCTCCCCCTCTAGCTGAAAAATCTAGCCAGTAGCTTTCCACAGGCCACACCCAAGTCTGACCTGCCTGTCTCACGTGTGGCTAATCCCACAAGGTTTCCTTCCTTTGCCTGCCCCCCCTCAGCCCACTGCACTGGCCAGCGTGAGACCTATTCATTTCTGGTGACCATTTCCCTGCTCAAGAACTTACAGAACCCCAGCACTGGCCTCTCTATACCTGCACCCCCTCCTCTCCATTTGTTCCCTGGCTTGTGCACCCTGGTGTGGGACTCTCACACAGTGCTGACCCTGGGCACCCAGGTCCTCCTTCCCAGCCAGGATCTCACAGTCCATTCCTCTCGGTTCTGGATGCAGTGCTGCCCCTCCCAGTGGGGCTGTGATTTCCACATGACTTTACCTTCTTCCTCAGGTTGCACATTTGCTTAAGCTGCCCTAAACTAGACTGAAAGTCTTGTCTTTCCCCACTGGCCCTCAACTCCAGAAGCCTTCCCTGTGACACCGAATACCCCAAAATGGCTGACTAAATGGTCAGAACAAATAAATAATACCTTGACTTGGAATCAAACTCTGAAATGTTTTAACTGAATACTTGTGCTAGGATTTAGAATTTAAGTGTAAGGTGTGCCTGTGTTTTCTATTCACAGAAAATCCAGGAATTTCATCCTAATTTTGATCCACTCATTAATAATATTTGGATCAACAGATTCAGGGCCCAAAGACGGTTCCAACAAGCAGCACGCAGGGTGAGTCAGCTCCACGTTAGAGCCTTGATTTGTTTAGTCATCAGCACAAGGAAGTCAAACAATGGCTTTTTTAATAACATCTTCATTGAAATACAATTCACATACCATAAAAATCGACTTTGTAAAGTATCCAACTGAGTAGGTTTTTGGTATACTCACAGAATTGGGCAGCCACCATCACTACCTAATTTTAGAAAATTTTTACCACCCCCAAAAGGAACTCAGTATCCATTTGCAGCCACTCCCCATTCCCTCCTTTCTCTACCCCTGGAAACCACTAATCTTTCAGTGCCTGTGGATTTGCCTTTTCTGGACATTTCGTATAAATGGAATCATATATACATGTGGCCTTTTGTAACTGACTTCTTTCACTTAATGTATTTTCAAGTTCATTAGCATTGTAGCATGTGTAAGTAACCTGTTCCTTGTTATGGTTGCATAATATTCCATTATGTGAATAGACCACATTTTCTTCGTTCATTCACTGATAGACCATCCACTTGTTTTCTCCTTTTGCTATTATGAGCAGTGCTGCTATGACATTCATGTGCAAATTAGTAGATAACAGTTTTCAACTCTCTTGGGCATGTTTACCTAGGAGTGGCATTGCTGGGGCATATGGTAAGCTCTAAAACAATGAGATTTGGGTCAGTTGTTTCCAGAGAGAACTGAGAATTCCAGAGGGTTCTTGTCCCTCACATTGGGCATATGACTTCCCTTCCAAAGGTGTCCTCTCCTGCTGCTGCTTCACCTAAAGCTGTCTGCCACCCACTGAGTGCATCATTAGCTCCAGTGGCTTCCAGTTGTCAGGATAAAATAAAGACCCTGAGCGTCTAATCCCAGCAGGGGGTGTCAAGTGACCTTGGGTCTGGCTGCAGCCACATCTCTTCAGCAGCCCACTTCCTCTACACTGTCCCCGTCCCCATCCCTGTCTTCCAGACACTCCATGCTCATTCCCTACTGTGAGCCTGTTTCTGCTGCCACCCTTCAGCTCCAGTGCCTCTCTGCTGCACTCACGAGTCCCACCTGCCCTTGGGCCAGCTCAAGTCTACTTCTCCTCCAAGAAGCAATCTCTTGGCACTGAAGGATCCACCCGGTGCCTTTTGCATCTCCCACTGCAATAGATCTCTCAACCCTGTCCTTCCAGCGTGGCTTCTCTAGGGGGCAGGGCCATACCTCAAGCAAGGGAGAGCAGTGATTAAGACCTATGTGTAGTCAGGCATAAGTGGCTCACACCTGTAATCCTAGCTATTTTGGAGACTGAGGTCATGAAGATCGTGGTTCAAGGCCAGACTAGGAAAATAGTTCATGAGACCCCCCATCTCTAAAATAACCAGAGCAAAAAGGACAAGTGTGGCTCAAGTGATAGAGCACCTGCTTTGCAAATGTGAAGCCCTGAGTTCAAATCCCAGTCCCACAATAAAAGAAGAGAGACTGGTGTAAGTCAGCTTTCCATTTCTGTGACAAAATACCTGAGATAATCAGCTTACAGGAGGAAGGCTCATTGCTTTAGCCATTTCAGTCCATGCTCAGGTGGCACTGTTGTTTTCAAGCCTATGGCAGGAAACAAGTGACAGAGGCGGCTCCCCACCTCATAGTGGCCAGAAAGCAAAGGAAAAACAAACAAACAAAAAAAGGAAGGGCATGGGTCCCAACATCTGGTTAAGGGCACACCCCCAATGACCTAACTTCCTCCCACTAGGCTCCACCTCCTAAAGGTTCCACCACCTCTCAGTAGTGCTGCGGGCTGGCAGCCATGCCTTTAGCACATGGGTTTGCTGGGCATTTAAGACACAACCATGACCCTGGGGCTCTGGGACCCAAATGCCTATGAACTTTCTGATCTTGGACAAGTGGCACAATCTCTGTGCCTCAATTTCCCCATCTGAGCTCTGAAGATGATAGGAATACCTGCCTGCCAGGCTTGCTGTGAGGGGCAAGTGAGCAGCTGTGTATCAGGGGCCCCAGAAGTCTGTGCTGCAGGTTTCCTTCCACGAAGTCCCCCAGCCTGGATTGGCGATGCTACCTGTGTCAGATGATCTGCTCACCAACCTCTAGGCCCCGTGGAACCAGTGTGCTGGGCCTTGTTCTCTGTATACACAAAGAGCAGGGGCAGCCATGGGATGCTCAGGAAAGGGGAGAGAGAGGCAGCACAGAGCTGGGCCTTACAGAGGAAGACACAGCTGTTCACAGTGTGCAACACTAGCAAGAGACTGGCCAGGCCAGTTTGCCATGGCACGGACTAGCCCAGCTCTTCTTCAGCGAGCCCTCAGCCCGGAAAAGAGCTGCTCGTGGTTGGTGCTTTGTTCTTAGTGATGGCTCAGTCTTTTGCTCGCATGCCATAGCAAGAACTGTCAGTTCTATGTGCCAATCTCTCCCCAGCCTAGCAACCTTCTGCTGTCCCCCAAGCTGAGCCCCAGCTCAGCCTCTCTCACCTGGACCACCGCCACAGGTCACCCAATAGCAGCCAGAGGAGTTCTTGCAAAGCAGAAAGATGACCACACCTGTCCCCTGCTAAATCAGACCTTCCAAAGGCTTCCCGTCCCAATGATAATGAAATGTGGTTTTTAATCCAGGCTACAAGGCCACACTGAATTCCTCTCTGTCCCTTTGTTCCTGCATCGGATCTTTGTGCCATCCACTTCCTCTGCTCAGTGTTGTCTTCTTGTCCTGTCCTCCTGTCACTCAGGCTTACTTCACCTCCTCAGAGACACCTTCCCTCATTATCTTTGTGTTTATCTTTATTCCCCTCAGTCTTGCCCTCATGTATTTGTCCTTTTTTATTTCACATGGCTTTCATCATGTCTATTTGTTTAAGGGTTTATTGTCATCCCACTCCAGCACACACACACACACACACACACACACACACACACACAGATGGAATGACAGCCCCATGCAGGCAGGACACTTCTTTGCTCCTCTGTGTCTCCAATGGCTTGCACAGAGCTGAGCACAAAGTAGCCACGTCACAGTCTTTGTTAGATAAAAGAGTTCTTGAGGAGACAAAAAGAGTGCTGATGCACCGGGAGCACTTCCCTGTGGCAGCACGGCTTGATGCAAAGCTCAGCCAGCACTACCCAGGAGCCTCAGCCCCAAGCTAAGATCACCCCCTAATTCTGAAAAGAGCACAGAGGTATAGTGTTACTAGTCAGCTACATCTGTAAGAAAGAAAGAAGAGGATGTTGGGGCTCCCAAATCCGGTGGGACAAGTACCCAGGTAAATTCCTATTGTCCAGACCACGAGGTCCCCATGGCTGTAGTCTGGGGCAGCAAGCCACTCTCCCTGGGACTTCTGACTCAGAGGGGTGGTCTCAGCCCTTAGTTGCAACTGGGAAAAGTGAATTCAAGTAAACACCAAATTTAGCAAAATTCCTCATTTGAAACCATTTTTCTTTCCAACCCTAGATCATGCGTGAGCGACGGCTGCTGAATATGCTGGGGGCTGTTCGTGAAATGGACAAAGAAGGCATAATGAAAAAGCTCGATCAAGCGAAACAGCTGTTCATTCGAGGTAAAGCGTGGCTATGAAGTGCAGGCTCGCTGGGACCAATGTCTTTGGAATGAAGTGAGCTGTGGGGAATAAAGAGTTTCATCAGTCACGTGTTAGCTTCCCATTGCAGCTCAGCAAGCCACCACAAACTTAACAGCTTAAAGCAACACATGTTTCTGATGTCACAGGTCTGGAGGTCAGAAGTCTAAAATGAGAGTGTCAGCAGGCTGGCTCCTCTGGAGGCTTTCTGGGAGAATCCATCGTGTTCTTGCCTTTTCCAGCTTCTGGAGGCCGCCTGCCTGCCTTGCCTCATGGACCCTTCCTCACAGCACTCAGTCTCTTCCATAAAGACACCACATGCCCTTCTCTGACTTACCCTTCTGCCTCCCTCGTGTCAGCCCTGTGATTTCACCAGATCCATCTGGATAGTCCAGAATGATCCCCGCAATTCACGATGCTTAATCCCATCCTCAGATTCTCTTTTACGTGTAAAGGAGCACATCCCCACATACCCAGGGAGTAGGATGTGGATACCTTAGGCGCCATTACTCCACCTGTCTCTTAGTATAATACCAGATCTCCATAGTCCGGCTGACGGAGAAATACCTGCCCAGATAACAATAAACAAAATCAACCCCTCCCAGACGAGCTGTAACATCTGTGAACTTTGACCGGGGCTTCAACTCTTGTTTTGGACCCTTGCTTTCTCTTGTCACCAGACAGATGAGGATAGTTGTCATTTATGCTTGTTGATCGACTGTCCAAACCTGGGGTTTCTCAACCTAGCATTTGTTGGGGAGCTTTTAAATCTTAAATTGTCTTTGCTGCTTAAAGCAATTCTGATCCTCTGGTCCTGTGGCTGACTGGGGCAGTTAGTGGCCAGTGTCTAGTAACTTCTAGGAGTCCAAAGCCATGTCGCCGTTTCTTCTGGTTAGATTTTTTCCTGCAGACAGACCCTGCTCCCCTGAGGCCTTCTTCCCTCTCCACCACGATCCAGATGTGTATTTCCCAAAACATTTTGTGCCATTTTAATTATTCTCTTTTTTCCTTCTATGTTATGTTTATTTCTGATATTGAAGTTTCTAATAAACGCTTAACAAAAAAAAGTAAAACTTACCCATATATCATGTGTAGTTAGCCATCTATAAGATTATAAGATGTCTTTCTCTAATTTTAACATTTTTCTTTGTTGAATTCGCCCCAAATATTTTAATTAAGAATTAAGTTTTTTGGGTGTACCTGAAAGTAGGCTAGGGATTAGCAGGGATTAGGAAGGAAGAGGGGAGGGGAAGGTAGAAAAAAGGAGACTGGGCTTGCTCAATGCATGCTACATACACCTGTGGAAATATCACACTGAACCCCATTACTATTTACAAGTAACACTTGTTAATAGAAATGTTTAAAGAATTATAGTTTGAGGAAGCTAAAGTGAAATTTAAAAATTTAAAACTAGAGAAGTGGTTGAAGTAAAGAAAGGGGAACTAAAAATGGAAATGCATGTTATTATACATATATATATATATATATATATACATGTGTGCATAAAATATTCATTTTGAGATGATATGTAGAAAATATGCAAGTAAAGATGGTGGTTTCACATAAAAACACCTTGAGGACGCCCTCAACGTACCATCTTACCTTTCACCCTTAGAGAAGAAAACCTCCATATACCTTCAGCCACAAGTCAGTCAGGAAGATTGTGAATGTCACTTCTCAGTCCAGTCCAAAGAAGTGCTGCCCTTCGCCTTCCATCCTACACCCCTCCTCAGGACTCCAACGAGCTGGTGGGTGCCTTCAACTGTGGCTGGGGTGGGCGTGACCATACGGTTGCTGGGCAGGTTATTGGAAAATCCAACCTGAGTCCCTTCACTTCCTATGAAAGGCTCCAAAAGGGACCTGTGCCCAGGGGATTATGACCAGTGGGAAACCAGGGAGCTTCTACTGCCATCTGCCCTGCCCCTGGAATTCCTGGCACACCTGGTACACCTGCGCTGAGCTCCCGGATAATGCAGGCTGGGTCCTCCCCAGTCTGCAACCGAGCATATAGGCTGCCCTGAAATTGGGTCTGGGAGGCTGTGGCAGGGAGGAATTGAGAGGCCACGTGACCCAGGGAGGCAGCTGAGCCTTCTGCAACAGAAGGCCAAGACAAGGGCAGCCTCTCTGTCTGGACCCAGCCTAGTAAGAGGGGGTGCAGCCTCAGGTCTGACAAAATTCCATCTCTCTCTCTCTCCCCTCTCTCTCTCCATCTCTGTCACACACACACACACACACACACACACACAATTCATCCTCTTTCCTTATGGGTACAATGATGCACTATAAGAAAAATAATAATTAACTTTTCCTTGTAGTTAAGTGTTCTGGGTTATGACCTCATTCAGTATTCAACAAATCTTGTGCTAGTTGTATCATTTTGCAGTTGAGGAAACTAAGGTCCAGCATCCCATAACCAGCTATAAACCATGGCTCAAGTTCACAGAATGAGTAAAATAAAGTGTGCTGAAATCTTCACTGCAAGTGCATATGCAAAATATTTTTATTTCAAAGAATAAACCTGTCATTCACATCCTAAAATATTCATTAAGCATTGTAGGTTAATGTACTCAAGAGTTACAGGACTGAATTCAGAAGTCCCATGTTTTTTGTTCTTGATAGTCAATTGACTTGATAGATTAGAATATTTGGTTCCTAGGCATCAGTGAGCCTGTGACTTTCACATAAGAATAATGCTCAGTAGTTAGTGGTAAAGAGGGTGGTAGGGTGGAAAGGGATGATTACTGTGCCCTGGAGCCTGACTCTCATTTCTGAGTAGGTCAAAGCTTGGCATGTCCTCTGGTATTTAGTGAATGCTGCTAAGACTGATGGCAAATGCAGTGCTCAACCTTCCTGTCTGTAAAAGAAGACCTTGTTAATTTATTCCATAGATACTGGGTTTATCCATTCTAAGATGCACTGTTTTTTTTACATTTAGCATCTTTGAGATTGAGAAACCTCTTACAAATGAGGGCATGTGCACATTGCATCCCACTGACTCAATGGTGGTGTCTTAGAGTAAGTGATGTGTGGTGTTCATTGAGAACCCATTGAGTGCCCACCTTGTGCCAGGCCCTGTTCTGGTTCTCTGGGCATCTGAGACAGACAAGCATCTATGGAAGGCCAGCCCAGGGAGCAAAGCTGCCAGAGCAGCAGGACTGCAGTGTATCTTGGCAAAGGTCTTAGCTTCCAAGAGAAGCTCTGAAGCTGGCATAGGGTGACAGGACCCAGCCTTTGTGCCTTGGCTTCAACCTATCATTGGAGGCAGGCTGCAGGAAGAAGGACTTGTAACTTGAGTGACACAGCTCCCTTCAGCTGAGGCCTGGTTGTGGGGGACTGAGGGGGGTCTAGGTGACGCGTTGTGCCTTCATGGCATTACACAATAAAAAGAATATTCACAGACACTGAGAGACATGAAGAGGGGCTGGCCAGGGCTGCCTTTGTGTGTGTCATACATCAAGTGGCAACTGTGGATGCGAGAAGGGCCACTTTGAGATAGAATGTCACATAACGTCTCAAAATGTCATGGGAACAGGAGCACAGCTGGTTTTGATTTTTTCTACTTTTCACATTTTAGGCTCCTGACGGTCTTGGACTGGTTCCAATTAAGTCTTCAGAAGTTCAAATCAAGCAGAGTTATTCCTTCTTCAATTTGCAGGTCAGGCCTGTCCACGTAACATTCATTATTTGGGTTTCTTATGAAATGAACAAAATATTCTCAAACTTGACTTAACACTCGTGTATTAGCTTTGTTGTATTGTATCTTATGCCGAGCGACATGCTGTGTGCCTCTCTGCTATTATTTGACGGTATGTTAGAGGTAGCCCATGTCCTTTTCCCTGACATGACTATGGAAACCCAGGTCTTTACTCTGTAGATATGTGTGCCTCATGCCATGCCTGTATGAAATACTCCCACCACATCTATTAGAAATTTCAGGAAAAAACACAGGTGAAGTGAACACACATTAGTTAGCCTTTCTTGAAGCCACTAATATGACCACTTCCGGTTTTGAAAATAAAAATATTTCAGTATGTATCTACAGTTAAGGCATATGGTATAAAAAGCAATCATGAACACTGATGTGTGTGGAGAACCAGGCTCAGGACTGGCACTGACATCTGTTCAGTACTGGCCCAAACTCACAGTTGCCACAATCTGCCAAGGGATGACGGGGTGACTCACTTTTGCCATTAGGCAACTATTGTTGAGAAGTCACTGCCTCCAAATGGTACTGGCTTTTCAAGGATATTCAATCAATTGTCTTCTTGTACCCTCAGGTCCCTCAACTGTACAAAATGAAGGGATATCAACCATTCTCCACCCAGAAGGCTTCAGTCAGTTACAGACCCCAAAAGCTTGCTCGATCCCTGAAGCAAGGAGCTGAGGTGACATGTCTTTACCTCCAAGAACTGCTCTCACTTTCCCCTCTTATTCTGGTATCAAGACTAACTTCTGTTCTTGGTCCTTACACAGGATGAAGTCACCACCATCATAGCCCTTCCAAACAAGGACTCCACAGAGCTCTCTGGCAAGTCCTCCATCCTGAGCATGAAGCCACCCGAGGGCTTAGCCATGGGTGTAGAATATAACCCACTTTATATTTTCGTGAGTAACAGTTGGCCTTGTGTTCTATGTTCCTTACTTCCTGTAAGAAATCAAAAGCTGTTCTTGGGAATATTTTCTCCTCCTTGCAATTTCAAGTGTCTTATTTTGTTTGTTACTGTTGTTTCAGTGCTGGGGATTGAACCCAGAGCCTCAGGCATGCCATGCAAGCCCTCCATCACTAAGCTGTATCCCCAGCCTGAGAATTTCAAGTGTAAAACATTATCTCACCTTTGAAATCGCTTGCCGTTATTTATTGTTTGGGCGAATATCAATGTTTCTGTCATAATAATTCCAGCACTCATTTCTATGACAGCAGCTTTATGATCTTTTGTACTTGTCTGCCCCAAAAATGAAATCAAAAGAGAAATTAGGAAATATTTTTAACTAAATGAAAATGCATACAAACAAAAAAGTAGTAGGAAATTCACAGCACTGTACACCTACATTAGAAAAGAAGAAAGGTCTCAAATTAATGTCCAGGTTTGCCCATTTAAGACATTAGAAAAAGAAGAGGCAGAAGAAACCTAAACTAATCAGAGATAAGAAATAGTAAGGAGGGCACCCTCTCCTGAGACCCCTGCCAGCTCTGGGAGCTATACTTTTTGCTACCTTTCTACCTCAATAAACTCTCCCGGAGATTAGGGTGAGGGTAAGTGGCAGATAGACTTCATATACCTGTATGAAACAGAACAAAGAAACCTCTTGCAATTGCTTTAAGTGGGGCAGGAAGGGGTTTGAGGGGGCGAGACAATGGGGGTGATGTAAATAATGTACAATATAAGTCTAATAGGAATTGTCACTGTGAATCCCCCCATATAATGAATACATCCTAATAAAAATTTTTTTAAATAAGCTCTCCTGCTTTACTCACAAAAAAGAAATAATAAGGATCCAATTAAAAACAATGAAATATTTAAAGAGAGAGAAACCTGGTTCTTTGAAATGATCAGTAAAATGGATAAACCTCTAACGAAACTGATCAAGAATGAGAAAGGTGACATCACTATAGATTCTACAGATATTTAAAAAGGTAAGTTAATATTATGAAAACTTTATGCTAGTAAATTCAACAACTTAAGTTAAATATTCTAATTTATTTAAGGGGAAGATAAGTAATCAAATATTCGAGAGAAGATAAATAACCCATACATCTCTATGTCTATTAAAGAAATTAAATTAATGGCTAAAAACCTTCTCACAAAGAAAACATCAGGACCAAATGCCTTCAGGAGAATTCTGTCTAATTTTTAAAGAAGAAATAATGCCAAGTCCATAAAAACTGTTCCAGAAAACAGAAAAGGGATATCTATTCCTGAACTCTTCCAAAGTTACCCTGCTACCAAAGCTAGGCATAGACATTATAGGAAGAATAATAGAACAGACCAATATTCTTCATGAACATACAACAAAATCTTGTCACAAAATTTTAACAAATTAAATCCATCATGATATAAAAGGGCAGAGTATCATAACCAAGTCAGGGTTTGTGCAAGAAAACAAGATTAGTTTAGCATTCAAAACTTAATGTACCTATGGATTAACAGACCAAAAGGCAAACACAATATGATCATCTCAGTAAGTACAGAGAAATTGTATAATGTTCATCCCTGATAACTATTTTCAGTGATGGAGAAAACTTTCTCAACCTGGTAAATGGAATCAATTAAAAATCCCGAGTCAGATGCCAGTGGCTCACGCCTGTAATCTCAGCTACTTAGGAGGCAGAGATCAGGAGGATCATGATTCGAAGCCAGCCTGTGGATCAGGTTTGTGAAAAAGCTCAGGGACCCCATCTTAACAAATAACTGGACATGGTGGTATACACCTGTCATCCCAGCTACTCAGGAAGCTGAGAGCATAAGGATTGTGGTTCCAAACCAACCCATGCAAAGAGTTCATGAGACCCTGTGTCAACAGAAGAGATCTGGGTGTGGTGGCTTGTGCCTGTCATCCCAACTATGGCAGGAAACATAAATAGGAAGATCAAGGTCCAGGCAGGCCCGAGCAAGATCCGATGTCAAAAATAGAGCCAAAAGGACTGGAGGTTGTGGCTCATGCAGTAAAATGCCTGCCTAGTAAGTGCAAAGCCCTGTGATCACACCCCAGTACTGCATAAACAAATAAACCCCAGAACTAATATCAAGTTGATGAATGACTGAATGCCTTTCCCCTAAGATCAGGAATAAGATAAAGGTGCCTGCTCTAAGTCATTCTATCCAAGAGTTAACTATAGCCAATGCAATAAAGCAAGAAAAAGAAATAAAAAGGCATGCATATTTGAAAAGAAGATGTAAAACTCTCTTTGTTCACAAACAAAAGTATTGACTATGCAGAAAATTCAATGTAACCTACCAAAAAACTACTGAAACTAGTAAGTAAACTTAGCAAGACTGCAGGACATGGGCTCACAATACAAAAATCAGTTGTATTTCTATGTACTGGCAATGAACAATACAAAATTGACATTTATAAAGCCTTATTACTGAAAAAATAGTGTAAAAACACTTCAGGATAAATCTGAGGAAAGCATATAAAACTGATACACCGAATATTATAAAACATTGCAGAGGGAAATCAAAGAAGACCTAAATAAGTGGAGAAATGTGCCACATTGGTAGATCAGAGATATGATATTATTAACACATAAATTCTCCAGCCGGGCGCCAGTGGCTCACGCCTGTAATCCTAGCTACTTGGGAGGCTGAGATTGGGAGGATCGAGGTTCAAGCTAGCCCTGGAAAATAGTTTGCAAGATCTCATCTCCAAAATGACCAGAGCAAAGTGGACTGGAGGCGTAGTTCAAGTGGTAGAGCACCTGCGTTGCAAGCATGAAGCCCTGAGTTCAAACCTTAGTCCCACCAAATATGCATATCAGTTCTCCCCCAATTAATCACAAAATTCACAATAATCTTAGGCAACAAAAACACAGGAAGTCATCTTTAAATAGATATACAGACTTATTCTAAATTTTATGTGGACTTTTTTTTCTTTCTCTTTTTTTTGCTGTGTGTGTGTGTGTGTGTGTGTGTGCGCGCACGCACACACACACACACTGAGGATACAACCCAGGGCTCAGGCACACTAGGCAAGTGCTCTGCCTCTGAGCTACCTCCCTGTCATATGATATTGAACCTTCACACACAAAGTAACTATAATCTAAGCCTCCTTCTGGCCTTGAAGAGAAACAGATTTACACTGTCAAGGCAAAACAAATGCTACTTATGAGTCCTCAGCTTTAGAAACAACCTATGAACAACGCATGAAGGTCTTGGGTGGTTCCAGACATGAATGTTAATCTCAATAATACAAAGGTAAAATTGTAGAACAGTGAAGAAAAAGTAGAGGGAAACATAGGCGTGATAATGTCTTCATTTCACCCAAAGAGAAGCTGAGATACTCAACTAAAAATGATGACACAAGAAATTGGTACAAAGAGGCACTGTGTACACGAGCTAAGTCTTTGCCTTGCACAGCAGTGACTCCACAGATACTGTGTGAAGTCGATAATCAAGAAATGGAAAAGTTAGCGTAATGTCTAGGATTACAGTTATGACCATTAGAGTCATAAAACCCAGAAACAAAGGAAAGAAAGCCTCCGGGATGTGGGGACAGGAGGAGCCACAGGAGCAGCTGGTAAGACGCCACCTTATCCGGAGCAGTGCTTTAAGGAAAATCAAAATTAAAATCATCATGGAATGACCATTCAGACCACTCAACTCTGTAGCAATGGCCACCCTGGAGGATCTGAGGTACAGCTGTTGGAGACAGGTGCTATTGCCTTCTGCAAAAAGACTGCATTCATTACCGTAGCCCAAGGCAAACCAAAAGAGCTGGCTACCTGGCGTCTTTCTCTTTTCATGCCTTGTCAACCAGAGCAGGCCACACTCCCAAAGGCACATAGGTGATTTCCCTCCCACTGTATTGTGCCCCATTGCTACCCCCATGGGGTGTTACCAACCCCATTCCCATCACGCTGGCTTCCTACATATGGCTCCAACCTCTCGCCTTTCTGAGGTATGGGCTTGTCTCTACACAGCTGTGGGCACTGCAGACGCCCTCCCCTTCCTTTACATCCGGGCATTCAGCACCTTTCCCCAGGAAACACTCCAATCCCTGACAGCAACACACCACTTTCAGATCCTCTGGGTCCTCCGTACCTTGCCCCTAGGGGCTGGAAGGCCTCCCAATCTAGCTGTGCATCATTTAAATAGTAAGGGGGCATTTTGCAATTTCCGTAAATCAAGTGGGTTACGGACTTTTTCATGGTTAAAAAAAAAAATCATACAAGCAAAGTAAACAAAACCTCATATTAGTGGGTTCTTTAAGGCCTAAGATTAGACAAGGTGAGGGGAAAGCTATGTTGTTTGGGACTGGAGCATGGGATTGCTGTGCAAGGTCTGGAAAGAACATTAAGAGGCTCTCTAGTTTAGGATTCTGGTATAATTGCTTTGCACCTCTATTAGTTCTGCAGGGAAATTAAAAAAAAAAAAAGATCTCCCTTAAAAACCAGATCCTGAATCCCAGAGGAGCCTTCCTGAATTAAAAACATTACCAAAACAATGTTAACTGTTGACATTTCCTGGAACATCAAATGTCACCCCTTCTTTGTCTTCTCTTTAACTTCATTCCTAAGAGCTATTTTTGTTCTCAGATCCAGAGACTAATTTGCTTTTTAAAACCAGCTTGTTTATCTAATAATCCCCTAATCCATCATCTTTGGAAGCAAACACTGTAGACTGTTCTAAGCTGTGATTTCAGTTACACTTGCTTCCACGTGTGATTAGCAAATCCAAATGGTATGTAATGAAACTCTTAAACCAGAAAATGGCATTTATGAATGACTGGAACATTTTAAAGCATGACCCACTTGAAGAATCTCTGCTCTCCTGTTTCTCGTTTCTAGATGAGCTGACATCGAATCCAGAGTGTTAGTGCTAGTGGGAGCCACAGCTGACGCCTGTCCTATGCCTGGTGTGGAAATGGGTAAACAAAAAGTCTTTTTTTCCTCTTTACTGCAGAATCCCAACCCAGGATTGTTTGCCGTGAAGCACCCTCTGACCTACGCAGAAACGTTGATAGACTACCATCTGTGCTCTCATCCCAAGTACAAGTTCACACACGAATCCCACGAAAAGTCCAGCATTCCTCTCACCCAAAAGCAGTTTCTCCATCACACGGTAAAGCCATCACCAGGCTCACTGGTAGAGGTGGCCTTGGGTTGCAGGGAGGGGCAGGGGATGAGGACAGAGGACAAAGAAGGCTATAGCCACAGGTGCAGAACAGGATGGTGACAATAACCCTCCTTCACGAGTCCTAAAGGGGTACAGGGGTGCTGAACACCACTCCTGTCCTGACCACGCCCACCTCTCCTCAAGACTGCCCTTTGCAATATCCTCACTGTTAAGGGAGATTCTATCTCAACCCTACCACAGTCACACTATCTGTGGTAGCCGTGCTCTGACCTCTTACCGTGAGCCCTACAAGTGCAGAAACAGAATGGACGGGGGATGATGTGACAAGTGCATAATAAAGAAAATGGCTCCACAGAATTCCTTCTCCCCGAGTGGCCAGCCTGACCTGAACCACACGGGGGCCCCGCAAACTCAATAAGTCCCTCACTCAAATCCTGATCTCTGCCCACTTTCCCTGAGCCACACCCCAAACTGCCTCTTCTTCCTGTCACCCACTTGGGGCTTTGTTCCATGACATTGTGCAGTGAACTTGAGCGTAGAATTTATGGGCATCTTGACCCTGCCCTCCCATCCCCACATCTAACCAGCCTGCCTCTTACCCCTGACACACACTCCAGCTCAGCACTGCTCCTGCTGGGCCTCCATAGAAATCTTCCTTTGACACAAATGGTCCTGTAGGTTCCTGCTCAAAAACCCTCAGTGGGATCCTACTGCCTGTGGAAGCAGCTCCAACCTCATTAGCTTGTCCCGTAAGGCCCTCAGTGACTTACCTGCCTCTCCAGCCATAGTGTCCCCCAACCCAATCATACACCCTCAGTCGGTTGCCAGCACTGCCAGATGCATCTGCACACTTGGCCCCCTGCCTGGTGTGCCACTTCTCTGAAGCCCCCTCTCTGAAGATGCAATAGCATCATGTTCACAGTCATGGAGACAGATCTGAGGCCATGCCTGCCCCCAGCGAGAGCACGTGTCGCTTGTGTGGCTAGTGAAGAGCTGCGGGCTCCACTTTGTCTCACATTCTGTGTTGCCTTGTTTGAGGTCCTTTGCTGGAGCAGTTGTCTTTTTGCTTCAGAAAAATTCAACCAAACTTAGTGAAAGGACAACTTTAGGAGCTAAATTTGGGGGGCTTACAAACAGTCCACTAAATGAAATGAAATCCTTTCTAGACTTTGCCCTGCTAAACACTTCCTTTCCATGTTGTGCCCCCGCTCCAACTTTCATCACAGGACATTATTCCTGGAATCATGCTCTGGAAGCAGTTCCAGCCCCTGGTCTTGTCCTCCCTGCCGGACCCCTCAAAGGTGGAAATCACTCAGAGGTGAGCCTCAGTTTCTTCTTGTCTCATGGGAGCACATTTCACCCGCAAAGTACAGAGGCTGAGAGTTACAGAAATTAGAAGCCAGCATTACGTCAAATCAAACTTTTAAAGCATGAGGGCGGTTTGCCGGTCAGAGAGACATGGTGACCTATAGTTGATTTTCGTATTTTGAATTTGTCCTAATCAAATAAATTGTCAAATGAATTTATCTTAACCAAATTTGTCTTCATACACTTTTTGAAAAGTAATGTCAGAGGTTGGGGGTGTGGCTGAAATGGAAGAGCGCCTGCTCACACTGCAAGTGTGAGACCCTGAGTTCAAACCCCAGCACCACTAATAATAAAACTAATGTCACAGTGGCTAATTGGCAGTGCTTCAGTGTAGGTAAACAACTGATCCACATGATTCTGCTGAATTTTTTTAAATTGCCAAGAATAGCCTTATGTGCCCTCCATATCACACGTTCCTGTCAGCCTGGCATTTGCTATGGGTCCCACACTGTCCTCAGAGACACTCAGCAAAATGTGCAGCTCGTAGGTCAGCCACAGGCACAGAACAGTAGATGAAAATATTGCTGGGCAACAAAGGAAGAAATTAGAGTAGACACAGTTTTGCCGATGTGCTGTTTAATATCTCTTCAAAGTCTCAAGACATCAAGTAAGTAGCCAGATGCATTTTCTCTAGACTCTGCCTGACCAACAGTCTTGAACTTGTTTCTTTAGCCCACATCCTTACAAACAACACAAGATATTGGTGAGCAAATGTGACTAGTGTCCCACAATGACTATCATCAGCTGTTACCTCTTCAAATTCTGTGGTCCAGAATGAGGCCCATCCCCATGGTGGCCAGGAAAGCTGAGCCCTGCCACAGCCCAAGACCAGCAGGGCATCCTTACACCCCTCACCCGACTCCCACCAGTGTCCTAGATCCTCTGACCCAGAAACACCAGGACCTCCACACCACCCCCAGGAGCTGTGGGGCCTCAGCCTCGCTCCACCACCACCTCTCTGGGCCCAGTCCTCTTGTCAGTGAGACAGGCTTGGACTGGTGAGGGTCCTTCTCACCCTCAATATTTTACTTTCCTAGGAGAACGAAAGCTCATTGATATACTTTGTCCCTTCTGAGACTCGAGTTGGAGTTTAATCCCCATTGTGGGGGGTTACCAAGAGGTTACAAACTTGACCCAACTGCAGTGTCTAGCGGTCCATTGGGGGATGATCAGAATTAGCTAAGGACATCAGGGTGCAGCCCCCATGGTTGAGTCCTGATGTCTTTATATGAATGGAAAGACACCAGTGGACACACATGTACTCCCTGCCTCTTACCTTGTGATGATGATCTGTGCCACCTCAGGGCACTGACAGCAAGAAACTGTTACCAAATGCAGCCCCTCAACCTTGGACCAGAACCATGAGCCAAGCAAAGCTCTTTTCTTTATACCTTACCCAGTCCATGGTAACTGTTATTAGCAACAGAAGGTGGACTAAAGCACTTACCCAGTTCAGACACCCCATGTCCACACTCTGCCCACCCGCCCCTCCCCAGGTATTTGGGGAAATTGTTGGAATCTTGTTTGTGATCCTAGGATACTGATTTTTATTTCTTCCTTCATTGCCAGCTGGGAAAGTCTTCCTGAGTTGAGGTAGAGACTGCTAAACTTCCAGAGGCCTCTCTCTCTCCCTTTGGGTTACTTCCCTGGCACATCTCCAACCCCTACCCCCCTTGCCTAGAGATTATAGAAAGGAACACAAGGCACCCAGCATGGCACAGAAACTCAAACACGCTAGTTCCTTTCTGATCATAACCTCATTCGCCCTGTTGCTGTTTCAAAGTCAGCGTCTCTAATCTTTATTTTAGCACAGTTTTTAGATGGAAAACTTCCAGGACTGAGGGAAACAGTAACAGCACCAGAGACCTGCCTCCTCTATTTGGGGCTGTCACCAGCTCTCTGTCATTCTTCTTGTCACTTCTTACTGAAGCCCTTTAAACAATAATTCCTCACCTGTGAAAGAGGGTTGGTGATGTACTCATGGGCTGTCGTGAGGATGGAAATTAAATGATCGTGAACCATCTAAGGTCTTCCCGGTGTGTGCTTTGGTATCTTCTACCTTCAGCCTGGCCCTCCCACCTTGCCATCACTCTGTCGCCACCAGATGGCATCAGCACCCCCAGACAGACTCAGCTGGGAGGACACTTCCAAAAGGACTCACATAGTGACAGGGAGTGTGGCTCAGTGCTAGAACCTTGCCCAGCCTGCTCAAAAAATAAAAATAAAAATAATTTGACCCATGTAATTTGTAAACCAAACATAACTGGGTCTGGGGTTTTGTTCAGAGACTAAATAATAACCAAAAGGGAAAGTGATGAGAATTAGAGACTGCCTGGGCCACCTACTGTCAGCACACAGGGATCCCAAGAATTTGGAACATTCCAAAGCAATGTTTCTGGAAAAGTCTCTCCAGATTGCTGTTTCAACATGCAGTCAGAATGCAGTTGTCTTTGGCTTGAAATGCCAACCATTACGCCTGAATTTTATCTGAATTAAAGAAAGCTCTCCTCTCTGCTGGACCAGTTTGTTTCAAAATAAACTGCCATTAGGTAACAAATCAAGAACAGAGTCTGTGTTTCCTTATTATGGATTTCCACAGGGTGTCAGATTCTAGATCATACCATTACATTTCTCAAAACAGCTACAAAATAAAAATGGTAATTCCTTTTTAAAATTCTGTTAATTCCTTCAGACTGCTATAACTTAATACCATAGACTGAGTATAGTATAAACAGTATAACTTTATTTCTCACAGTTCTTAAAGCTGGGCACCATGTGTAGTTGGTTTCTAGTGAGGGCTTATTTCCTGGCACATAAGCAGTGCCTTCTTGCTGTGTCCTCACATGGAAAAAGGAGCAAGGTGACTCTCCAGGGCTTCCCATCTAAAGGCAGTAATCCCATTCATGTGGGCTGGATCCTCATGACCTAATCCCCTCCCAGAGGCTCCCTGTCCATTGGGGGTAGAGATTTCAACATTCAATTCTGAATTCCGGGGAAAGGACGTTTAGTCTATAGCAAGTCCTTACAAATCCATTAGGGACTTTTCAGCTTTGCAGTCATTTTGCCTGAATGAATTGCTTCCTTGTATCCTTTGACCCTGAGAATTATCTGTGGATTGTTAAACCAATGCAGTGTGGTTACTTAACATTTATATATTCCAGTTCATTTTTGGATTCATAAGAATCAAAGCAGTTCACTGATTCCTTTACTCTTTGATAAATTCAGAGACAATTTGTTGAGCCTTATGGACGTCCATAAACTCTAAGGGTGAACAGCACCCAAAGAAATGATCTGGTCTAGTAGTTGCCAGACCTTCAATTTTATAGACGAGCAAACTGTTCAGAAGAACGTTGGGTCTGATTTTAGGTTATCAAGTAAGGACGTTAAGATAAAGCGAAGCAAAACAGAAATGCACAGCCACTATTACCACAATCACTGCTTCAATTTTGAAAGTGTATTCACACCAGAAAAAAGATAAAGGACAGCGAGCTCAGAATTTTTAAATTAATGTGTTTTGTTTCATGAAAATGTCTTGATTGTTCCCTTTGATCATCCCAGACCAGTCTGGTCTCTGGAGAGTGGTCCACATTTCTTTTATCAGCCCCTCTTCTGGGCAGGAATCCCCTCTTACTTCTTGTGTTCTAAAGTTTTGGTAGAATTTTCAGTCAGAACCTGGATTCTTTGTCATGAAGTCAGTAGATATGGCCAACCTCTGGATGATGGGGCCTTCTATCCAGGAATGCTTGTGTGCACACTGCTTCTGGGGTGTCTTCAGCAGACAAAGCCAGGGTTCACATACACACATTTAACATACAAAGACACATGTGCACACATATGTACATGATGTGCCTGTGGGCACACATATACACGTGTACATATATTAGGAATCATGAATTTACACCAGCACCTACAAGTCCAGTCCACAGCCACAGAGTTAGTGTCTGCCTCCTCTATGTCATATTTGTGTTTCCTTTCTTCAGCACGGTGGGAACCCTGACTCCCAACACTCACTCAACTTTATGACATACCTAAAATAGCCTCAGAAGTGCCTCATCTGAAAACACTTGAATAAACAAGCACAACAAATAGAGCTCAGATTCATTTGCAATTCTCCCCTCTCCTCACTCCCCCCCACCCAATATGGCAAATACCATATTTATAAGGTACTTTGGTTATTTCTCTCTTTCTTTTCCCTCCCTCTCCCTCTTCCTCTCTCCGTCCTTCTCTTGCTTCTCTCTCTTGCTTCTCTCTCTGGCTTCTCTCTCTCTCTCTTGCTCTCTCTCTCTCTCTCTCTCTCCCTCTGCTCTAATTATCTGATTATAGAATTGTTTTTTCAATAGACAGGTCATCATCATGTTTGCCAAACTGAACTGCACAAAGAGGCACACTCAGGGAAGCCCCTCTCTCTCCCACCTGCCTTGCACCCCATTCCTTCCCTGGGAAGGAAATCCATTTAAGTCTTCTGACTTCCCCTCCAGCTTGCCCTCCTGTGTTGCCCTCTGCAATGCTAAACAGAAGGTACTTTTTTCTTGTTTTCCCTTCTTTCTTATACAAAAGGTGGCAATCTAGATAAGCTTTTGCATTTCCTTTTTTCTCTTAATAAATGCCTTGGAAATCACTGCAGATCAGCTCACAGAACCCTCTCCCATTCTCTTTTCCATCTGTAAAAGCCACAGTGCCATAGTGTTCCTCCGCACCCCCCCACACACCCATCTCCACCCTTGCCAAGCAAGTGCACTTGCAAGATTGCAAACAAGTGAGTCTCACCTGAGCACCTGCACACACACAGGAGCCCTCAATTGTTCTTGTTTTCCATCCCGCCCCTGCCTTTCCTGCTGCCCACTGCTTTCCCCACATCTGGGAGGAGGTCACTTCGAAGTATGCTCATGTCATTCTTTACTTTTCTTCATGTGACAGCACTCTTCCAAGCTTCTAGAAATTTCTTCCACAAAATCTCTTCTCCCCTGATGTCCTCTCTGATGGTCTCCTCACTGTTGTGTGTTCAGTCTTTATTCCTTTAATATAATTTAAAAAGTTTATAAGGAAGGAATTGAAGCCCAAAATAGCAAATGCTTGTTCCACCATTTTGAAACAGAAGCCTGCTGCCAACTTTTAAAATAATGATACATTTTTTTCTCTCCATCTCAATTCCTTTAATGATTTTTTAATTATAAAAAATCAATACGAAGGATTTTTTTTTTGGAACTAGAGATTTAATTCAGGACCTCGTGCTTGCTAGGTAAGCACTCCACCACTTGAGCCACATCCCCAGTTCTTTAGTTTTAGTTTGTTTTTCAGATAGAGTCTCATGCTTTCGCCTGGGTCAACTTCAGACCATGATTCTCCTACCTCTGCCTCCTGAATAGCTGGGATTATAAGCATACATCACCATACCTGGCCCTAACACTTAAGAATTTTCATATAAAGTCCTAAATTTATAATACCAGACAATACATAAGGGAACTGGGAAGATTTAAATTTGGATAGAGTAAGAAACACTGATAACATAAGGAAAAAATATTAGGAAAGAATATAATTTAAACACTACCACTTTAAGAGCCTATGGTGTTTTATTGTATTTTATTTGGTGCTAAGGATGGAACCCAGGGCCCTGTGCATGCTAGGCAAGCACTCTACCACTGAGCCACACCCCCAGATCCTTCTATGGTTCTCTTTTTACACTCCAGAAAATCTCTTATTTGGTGGCATTCTCCAGAGGTGTACCAGGGCCTCTCATGGCCCCTGCCTTCACCTTTTCCAGAAGCATGAGTGGGTGTTCAGGAGTGAGAGAGAGCAGAGAAGTAGAAGCCTCCTGAGTGGTGAACTTGAAAGGCTAGTGTGACTGCCAGCACCATCATTTATCCTTGGCTGCATGTGTGATTTTTCCACAGCTGTGCCTACAACTCAGTTCTGCTTCCTGTAGATGTCCCTGAGCTCCTGGATGCCTTACCAGAAGAAGACAGACTGGAAACTATGGAACGGTATTCTTTTTGCCTTTGATCTCTGATGGTGTGTATTTTCTGGAGGAAAAAAGAAAAGCCACGAGGTGCTGGGAGGCATTTCAGAAGCACCCATATCCTGAGTTTGCCTCCTAAATGAGCAGATAGGGCTGGTGCCCAGCCCTGCCACCACTGAGGTGATAAGTTCAGCTCATAATGGAAAAGAGACCCTTCCTGAGGTCTAAAATACACCAGTGGGTGGAGAGAGGCTCCATGGACTTGGGTTAGCCCACGAAAGATGGTAGGGTTTGGATACACATGAAGAAATACAAACCCAGAAGCAAGATTTTACTGACCAGCATCTTGTAGCATGTCCTGGACTCTCCTGTCCCCAGGGCCACTTAAATAAACCTGGTGGCTAGAAACCCAACTGCAGGCCCAAGACGGGGAAATGTGAGCCACACAGAGCAGCTTCTTTTCTGTGATCTCCTCCCAGACACCCAGCACACACGTCTCCAGCAAAACACCACCATTGCCCATTTGCAAAAGCCTCTACATCAGTCATTTCTGATTCCTTCTAAAAATATGCTTAGCTCTCTGTTATATCACTACATAATTTCAGGGAGAAAAATCACAAGCTCCATGTGTTTTAGAAGGTACTTTCTACCAGGCAAACTAAAATCCATTTAAGTTTTCTAGTTTAATTAATCAACATAACAAAGTTTTATTTTTTGTTTCTTTTTTATTTTTCTTTATTTATTCATATGTACATACATTGTTTGGGCCATTTCTAACAAAGTTTTAGACATATCCACCTGCATTAGTTTGTTTTCTGCTACTGTAACAGAATACCCAAGGCAGGCTAACTTTACTAAGTTATTTAACTCACAGTTCTGGAGGTTCAAGGGCATGACGCCAACATGAACTCAGCTCTGGTGAGTTTCCTAGTGGAAACACAGGACAGACAGGAAGACAAAGTGATTCAAGGGTCAGGGTTGCTCTTATAACAGCATGCTCTCACAAGAACATATTCAAGGTCCCCAAAAGAACCACCTTAATCCCTTCTGAGGGCAGTACCCTCAGTAACCTAGCCACCTCCCATTGAGGCACCACATCTCACATGGCCACAGTGGGGACCAAGCCTCCAACACAGGAACCCTTTGGGAACAAGCCACATCCTAGGGCTGGTAGAGTGACTCAAGTGGTAGAGTGCCTGCCTAGCAAGTGTGAAGCTCTGAGTTCAAACCCCAGTACCACCAAAGAAAAAAAAGGAGCAAGACACATCCAAACCATAGCACCATCTTTCATTAAAATTTCCATTTCAATGGTTCTAGAGCATTCTAGATGTCATGATGGAGGGTATAGGCTGTAGGGTCAAAACCTCCCACTCTGCCACTAAGTATACCAGGAGTGACTACTCTCAGTGCCTCGATGTCTTTATCTTTAAAATGGGATAACAGGAACCATCTCATGTAAAGCTGTAGCTGGGTGCCTGGCACATAGTAAGTTCTTGATCACTGGGACCATTATCATTAATGACCTTGTTATCCCAACCCCCTGGCCCAAGATCTCACACTTGCAACAAATGAGTTGTTGCAAGCAGCAACTCATTTTTGAATAAATGTCCTAGCACACAAGAGTAACAAAGAAAGTAAGAACAGCAGGTGATACATGATTCAAAGATTTCCAAAATAGCAGGTGAAGACATAATCATCTTCCAAGAAGTTTCCTTCTATCCACTGTTGTACCAAAATAGAAGCTGAATAAATATTTCTAATACTTTTAACTTTTGATCTTTTAATACCCTTGGGGTATAAAGGAACACTTGGATGTGTTGCTGCATCTGTGACAGCAGTATTGGAGTACAGCCCAAAGAAGGTCACCAGCCTTATGGTGCAAGATTACAGACACATTAGGAAGACATTGGCCCAGAGTTCATGCTTTATTTATTCTCTATTTCTTGAATTTCTGTTACTGAAGATACATTCTTCAGCTTTGTCATCTGGGGAGGGATGACATCCATAACTCAGAGCCTTTTTAGTGTTCAGGATTTTGGGAGCCAAGGACAGGAGAAATGGTGGAAATGAGAGGAATCCTAGTCTAGTGAGGAGGCCAGGGAAAATATGGAGAAAGGAAAGGTGAAAAGCTGAAAACACACAGAGCCAGTTTAGCCATTCACCAAAAACCAGTGACCCTTCTGTGTGACTGGAGCAAAGCATTAGCATGAAGAGTCTGGATCTCGTCACCATTCTAGCCAAGTGCCAGTCTTGTGCCTGCCTGATTGTTCCTGAATTTGTTTCTCACTTCTGTGCTGGTGACAGTTACATGGTGCTAAAATTTGGGTCAGAAATACCGCAAAGGCCCACGTGTTAAATATCTGGTCCTCAGCTTGGTGCTATTGGGAGGTGGTGCAACCTTTAGGAAATGGGGCCTAGTGGGAGAAGTTAGGTCACTGGGGGGTGTGCCTGTGGATAATGAGATCTTGAGACTTGATATCCTGGTCCTTCTCTCTCTGTCTCTCTCTCTCTGCTCCTACCATGATGTGCTGTGCTGCCACAGGTCCAGACCAAGTGACCATGGACTGAAACTGAGCCAAAATAAGCAGCCTTTCCTCCTTTTAAGTTGATTATCTCTGATGCATTGTCATAGTGACAAAAAGCTGATTAATAGACATGGAATTGTTGAAGTGAGAAAGTGGAAGTATTCTACAGTATAACTGCATTTCTTTAGTAAGATAGATGGCTTCGTTTTTGAGATATGACTTGAATAAGTTGTTCCTCTATATAAATGATCATTTCACCAATGAAGCACTCATGATTTAACTCCTGCCACTTTTCAAAATGTTATAGAAACTCATTTATTTGTCAATGTAACTTTTCTATTTCTCTGGCATTTGCCAAAGTTCTTTTATTTTTCTTTTTTCTTTTTTAACTCAAGACTTCACACTTGCAAAGCAGGATCTCTACTGCTTGAGCCACACTTCCAGTCCATTTTGCTCTGGTTATTTTGGGAGATGGGGTCTTGTGAACTGTTTGCCTGGGCTGGCCTCAAACCATGATCCTCCTGATCTCAGCCTTCCAAGTAGCTAGGATTATAGGCGTTAGTCACTGGTGCCCACCCTGCCAAGATTCTTAAGTCTAGTCCAGTGAAACAGAAGATAGGTACAAGTCAGACAAAGCAGGTTCCTTGCTCACACATAGGTGAGCTGGTCACCCAAGGATGAAGGCTGCCAGGGTGACACAGTCACATCTACACATGCCCCACATACATTCATATGAGGGACCTGAAAGCACCTGAGTATCACATGGATCACTGAGTCCAAGCATTGCAGAACATGCTGTTCGGGAGCCACAGACACAGCCCAGTCGTTCAGGACATTCCTTCCTGACTTCAGGATGTGACGTTCTCAGTAATTTCTGCCCAAGAATTCTAAGCAATGTGCACAGAAGATGGGAAAATTTAATACGAATATTATATATTTAATCACAGAAGAATTTCAAAAGAAGTAGCACATAGGAAATTAATGTGAAGATATCCTCTGATGAGAATCATGCCCTAAAAGGAAAAAAAAAAAACAGCTATTCATTACCAGGCAAGATTTCAAAGTATGGTTAATGATTGTGAATGTTAGCCAGCTGAGACAGAGTATCTCTGTGCAATTGCCAGATCTATCCCTGAAATACACCTATTCGTGTGCAGAATTTTCTTTTTAGTTTTTTTTTCGGGGGGGATAATTTTCTGGGGAAAGATTTTTTCACTCTTTTGTAGTTTTTTCCCCATTGTTTTAAATTGTGAGTGTTACTTTTTACAATTCACTACACTATGAATTTCATCTTCACATTATTTCTAAACTGAAGTTATAAAAACTTTTAGAGAGTTTCGTTTTATGTGTTTTTTACAAATTTGAGTGAAAATGGAATGATTTGACGTGAAAGTGCCTTATCACAGTATTGACTTTGTGAGCACTGTAACATAAAAATGTTGAAACTTTCTCAGTCAACAAAAATTATGTTCATTTTGGTGGAACTGGGATTTGAACTCATGGCTCACACTTACAAAGCAGGTGCTCGCAAAGCAGGCACTCTATGTCTTGAGCCACACTTGCAGTCCAGGATGTTCTCTTTGAGGGGTTAGAGGAGTGGCTTAAGTGATAAAGAGTACCTGCTTAGCAAGTGTAAGGCCCTGAGTTCAAACCCCAATCCTACCAAAAAGAAAAATTCAGATGTTCTTTTTGTACAACTGCATTTGTGAAAAGTAAAATTCCTTGAGGTCTCAGTCTTTGGGCAACAGCATATGCAGGGCAACCCATCACAGTTTTGATCAATTTTGTCAAAAGACTTAGGTTGTCTGCATTTCAAGTGACTGGAGTTATAAAGGTGAGCACACCCAGTGTGTGTGTTCATACAGTTTGCTTTTGACCTATTTCTTTATGTATGGTTCATGTGTTCAAAACTGTTATACCCGTGTGACTATTAGTTTACCTGAGGATTTATACTTACAAAAAATATGTATGTTATTATTGCCCATTTTATCGCACAGCATGGCCTATGAAGTGCTCTGTCATATTTTCATATGTTGATCAAATAAATCCCCTTTAAAAATGTAAATAAGGGTGGATACGGTGGCAGCTGTTCAGGAGGCAGAGCTGGGAGGATCACATTCCAGGCCAGCCCTAGGCAAAAGCATGAGACCCTATGGAAAAAAATGACTAAAGCAGTAAGGGCTTGGCGCAGGGCTCAAGTTGTAGAGTGCCCACCTAGCAAGCACTAGCCCTGAGTTTAAACCCCAGTACTACCCAAAACAAAAATAAATAAATGAATGTGCTTTAAAGAATTTTTTAAATGAATAGTTTCAACTTCAGGGGTTTTGATCCTTTGGGATTTCAACACTTGGGGTTGTGGCCCAAACCCTGCAAGTGAAAGAGAAAGGCTAAGGCCATCAGGACCTGTCCTCCTATTGCATCCTTGCTGGTCTGTACTCCTTCAATTCCATTGTTCAAAAATGTTTTCGTTCTTAATGCGTATTCTAAATTATACAGTCAATTATGACGAAGCAAAGAAATCCTGCTAATTCAAGCACTGATAACCACTCATCACTGCCATGGTTAGACTAGGATCTGTGCCAGCCTGCTCTGTGATCAAAGCAAATGGTTTATTACTTGACAGACTACAGCATCTTTCATATAGTATATACTCAAAAATAAGAATTTTCAACATACTGTTTTTAGTTTTCTATTTTATAAACACATGCTACATTAATACATTCAATGCATTTTACATACAAACAGTGAATGAGTGAAATCCTAAATATCCAAGGCATATATCCAGTTCGAAGGCTTGCTCTCAGGCATTGAGCCTTGATAATACTTGGTGTCTAGGCTTAGAAACCAGATCAGAAAAGGGAAGTTGAAAAGCCTTCTGCTCAAACTTCTGCACCAGAATCTGTTTGTTTGAGAGCAGTACAGGCAAGGTAGGATGACACCTACTTGCTTCAGATTCAGAAGAAAGCATCCTGTAGCCCCGCCTACAGGGGAGACACTCAGCAGACCCACACAGAGTCAGCCTTTCCTCAGTCAGCACTGATGTGTACACAATCATGACTCAGTTTCCCTACTTCATAGGGGTTGCCAGACATAAAGGAAATGGTATGACATCGAGGAGGAGGGTGACAATTAGAATAACTAGCACTTCCCAAGGACTGAGTGTACCAGGTGGTGCTTGGCGGTGGGATCCCCACGTCAAAGTCATGTTATGCCGGCCCCTTAGAGATGAGGAAGCTGCTGCTGGGAAGACGATGTTGCAGAGCGCCAGCGAAATGACTCTCCGCCTTAGGGACCTGAATAACTTTTTGCAGTTTTCCAGGGTGTTTTCCTCAACAGGAAACTGCCATGGCCACCTCTGTTTATGGATGGCTGCTAGATAAAGTGTTCCTGTTTCTGTTGCCAAACTCTGAAACCTTTACTGCCTTTGTTCATCTTGGAAGCATTTCACAGAGTGAACTGGAGATGGCTGTTATCCAAAAACTCATTGCCTCTTCTTCTAAGTCCACACTAAAGGCTAATATCCCAGACTGTCCATTTGACTAGGCCTTTGCCAATGGGATGTCAGCAGATGACATGTAGTCTGCTTCTGAGGTCAGAACCCTCAGCAAAGTCAGTGTGTCTCCTCTACACACTCCAGCCCTCTTTCTCCAGCTGAAACCCAAACAGCAATGACCCAAATTTAACCATCAAACAACAAAGCTCTAGACCATAAGTCAGCAAATTACGGCCCATGGGCAAATCTGGACAGCCACCGGTGCTTGTCAATAAATTTTCTTGTAACCCAGCCAAGGCCACTGATTCATATTTTTTCTCTGATTCCTTTCATGCTGATGTAGCAGAGTTGGGTAGTTACAATTGAAGCCAAATGACCTACAGTTTTCATAGAAAAAGCTTACTCTTGTGTTAGTCAGATTTTCCCATGGCTGTGACAAAATACCTGACAAAAAGGAACTTAAAGAAGGGAGGATTTATGGCCACCCCCAGTTTGAGAGGTTCAGCTCACGATTGCTGGACTCATTTCTTTGTGCCCGGGGTGAAGGAGAAGCATCATGGTGGTGGGAGTGTGTGGCAGAAAACGCTAATCTCACAGTGGCCAGGAAGCAGAGAGAAGAAAGACAGGAAGGGACTGGGGGAAAGGGTACACCCTTCAAAGGCACCCCCCACCAGTGACCTCCTTCCTCCAACCAGGTCCCATCTCCCCCCACCTCCCAATAAAGCCACCAAATTGTAACTCCATCTGCCCTCATGATCCAGTCACTCCCAAAAAACCCATCTCCGAACTTTGCTGCCTTGATAACCAAGCCTTCAGCATATGAGCCTTTTGGGGGACATTTCATACCCAAACCATAGCACCCTTTCTCTAGGGGAAACCACCAAAAGGTGGAAAGGAAGGAAGAAGGGAGGGAGGGAGGAAGGAAGGAAAGGAGGAAGGAAAAAAAGAAAGAAGGGACTAGATCCCTTGAATTTCTTTCACCATACTCTATTTGGAAATACTCTGGTTAAATTTAAAGCAACCATGAATTTCTAGTTATTCTTTGCTTTTGATTTCTATTCAAATTCCATTGCGACCAGAGAACATAGTCTAAATTATTCCACTGTTTTGAAATCATCTGGGCTTTCTTTATGGCCCAAGATATGGTCCATTCTGGTTAAGTGTCCCATGTACACTTGAAAAGAATCTGAAATCTGTGACCCCATTTTTAAAAACTGCTTTTTACTCTTGCTTATAAATAACGACTCCCACCATTGTTTATTGGCAGACAGCAGCTTGTCAGCCTTTGCATCTCTGAACATAAACTCAACAAAAGTAGATGGAACTGAAGTTGAAAACCACGAGGAGCGCATAACTCCTTAACATTCACAATATTCCTTCTAATTTTCTGTTGGGAAGGAAAAGCAGTCCCCACTAAGCATCTCATTACTTTTCAGTGAGCTCTGTGAACACAATATAGAAGTTGTACTGACTCCAGAAATGATACAAGTGGAGTTCCCTGTGTTGGACCAAAAGGACGCCGAGAAGGAGAAGTAAGTGAATGCTCTTCGCCCTAAGAGGTGGGCTTGGATAACATTTGCCCTGTATGAAGTTCAGAATTGTCCCGTTGTCTGAATCTAATAATCCCAAGCTTTGAACGAGACATTTCCAATGCTTAAGATATTTAAATGTATGTGTTATTTTATACACAATTAGCTCCTTCAAAGGTTTCTGGCAAGTAAACTTTTAAAAATTGATTCCAGTCTCTCTAGGTGCTTATTGCTCAGTTTCAGAGATGTGTTTGTTTCTCGTTAAAAGCTGATTGATTTTCACTCAGTATAAGGAACACAGGCTCTGAGCCAAACCTGAGGCTGAATCTCAGCCCTACCATTTATCACATATAAGACCTCTACCCAACTAATCTTCTTTGGGCCTCAGTTTCCTCATTTGTAACATGCATAAAATAAATGATCATTCACAGGGCACTTGTGAGGATTGAATGAGCTGCCAAATGTGAAAAATGTCCCTTCCTCCACCTCTCCATCAGAGGGCTAACTAGCTAAGCAAGTACGTTACTTTTAAAATTTAATTTTGAGGCTGGGCACTAGTGGCCCATGCCTGTAATCCTAGCTACTCAGGAGGCAGAGATCAGGATGATCACGGTTGAAAGCCAGCCCAGGCAAATAGTTCACAAGACCCTATCTTGAAAAAATCCACCACAAAAAAGGGCTGGCACAGTGGCTCAAGTGGTAGAGTGCCTGCCTAGCAAGTGTGAGGCCCTGAGTTCAAGTCCTAGTGCTGTCAAAGAATAAAATAAGAATTTTGAAGAATATTTTACACTATAAATGACATTCTGTGATTCACATATTTTACACTATAAATGACATTCTGTGAGTCACATGGTTTATAAGCTTGGAATTCCATGTGTTCAGTGTTTTACTTTTATGTTTAAAATGAATTTAATTTAAAAAATCAGAAAAACATGAGAATAAATTAAGAACAACAATTCTACCACCTAGAGGTAGCAACTTGTCTATTTTGACTTCTGAGTATGTATGTGTTACACACAATCATATTATACATACTGTTTTGTCTTCTGCAGTTTTATTTAGCAGTATATCATAAATGTCTATTTATAAATGTAGATATACATCATTATATTTCATTTTACCAACTGCATAGTATTCCAACAGGCTGATTAACATCTGTCTCCTAGGCCATTTTCAAAAGTTCTTTTTGTTCTGGAATTCTCTTCTGCTCCTGTCAAGCGTTGTCCTGTGTTTGGTCTTGTCTTCTTTTTCCTCCCCTGCTGGCCTTCCTCACCTCCCTCAGTCTCAGTCAGACACCAAGAGAATCCTTCCTGTCGGACACAACTGCAGTTAGAGGGAACAAAATAAAAAGAACACATAATGGTGTTTAAATTCCCCGTAGAAGCCATCAACTAGGACTGGGGATGTGGCTCAATGGGTGCATGCCTAGCATGCGTGAGGCCCTGGCTTCAGTCCCAGCACCATAAAAACTAAAACAGGAAAGAAAAAGTCCTGCTGTCTATTCAGTTTCTGGAAAATATTTCTTTTCCTTGATGCAAAGACATCTGCTCTCCTTCAGTAACCATAATTAACTAAATTGATTCTTGCTGCCTGGACAGTGAGAGGTCTTAGCTCTCTCAAGACCCACAAAGGGGAATCGTGTTGACAAATGTCCCAGAAACTGAGTGACTTTAATTGTTGACGCATCACTCAACACTCCTATATTATCACAGTTATTACTCGATCACTACTGTCTTTAAAAGGAGACATGATCTACATATTTTAAACGATTCCATAACATAGCACCAATTAATTTCTCTAACTATGTGCAGTAGGGAACATTTCAGTTCTGCAGGTTCAGATATTTCTGGCTTTCCAAAAGTATCAGGCATTTGCCAGAGTCACATGTCACTCTCTTTAGAAAATGTCTCAGAATCATTTAATTTTAGATCTCCTACTTCCCAAGCAGATGAGTTCATATAAAGACTTCATGGTCTTTAGATAAGGTATCTATCCTTTCAACCAGTACACTTGCCCTGCCACATCTCCATCTGCTCCTTCATCCTGGGCCCCAGCCCACCAATGGGCAAATCGGCCCCACCAAAGGTCAGATACTCCCCATCCCTCAGCCCTAGCCTCAGCCCCCCCACATCTGGCAGAAGTTCTACACAGCAGCCCTGGCCACACCTACCATCGTGCTCAGTAGACCCATGTCTACCGCTACTTGGTCCAGGTGCATACCCCACCCTCCTGCAGCCATCACCAGAGTCAGAAATGTCATCTGTTTACTTTATTCATAAAGACTTTTTAAAACACTAATATGGACTGGGCATGGAGAAGACCTCAAGATAGGATCTCTGTGACTGTTTTCTCATTTCACCCTCACAACCATGAGGGGAGGCAGCAATTACCACCACCAGGAGGTGGAGACGGGGCCTGTAGGTAACTTGCCCAATTCTAGGAAACTGGTACCACTGAGACTAGAAAACAAGTTTGAATCACTTGCAGGCTGAAGGTTCTCACTGCTTAGTAAATCACTGTGATATGTAATTATTTATATGTTAACTTTATTTGTTAAGACAAAAACTCCAATGTTCACTGGCAGTGCTGTGCATTGGTGGGTGACTTGCATGTTTTATTAAGTGCCTTGTGTGACCTTGTTGTGTTTTTTGATGTTCAGAGAAGTGAAAGACCAGGCCCACGCAGCAGAAAAGGCGGGGGAAAAGGTGCAGGAGGAGATGAAGAACCTGCAGAGCAGAGCTCTCAGTGCGTACCTGATTCTAGAATAGAACCACCAGGAGGTCAGCTCTTCTCATCCACTTCCTGCAGGTCACCAAGGGCCTGCGTATCCATTTACACTCCAGCTATTTTTGGAATTAAAGTCTCTAGAGGCAAAAATTGAAATGTGGATGTATATATTTTGAAATTTTTCTTTCTGATAATAAAATATCATTAGCATAAGGGCAGTGTTGAAAGCTTCTTGTTGCAAGATTCATGCACTGGAATAAAGCCTTCCTGAACAAGGCACAAGCCACTGTGATGACAGAGACTAAGAACCAGGTGCTGACAGCTGTTTCGGGGAGTTTTTTGTGGTGTGGTGCCCAGGAGCCTAAGGTAGATAGGTCTGGGACTGGGATGTGTGCCCACCTCTGCACAGAACTAGCATCTCTGATTTTGACACTGGCAACCACTCCCAGGAGGAACAAGCACTGAGTGGACATTGGCTCCCCAAATAGTTATGCTGGTGGGAGACACTAGCAAGGGGGACCAGAACTGGAGGGGACATTGTGAGATGGCTGGAGTTTGCAGACTGATTTGCAAACAACTGGGGAACATCCCTCCAGAAACTCCCAGAAGCACCTGGGGCAGGAAGTCATTGCAAAGGGGCCAGGAACCCCTGGAAGCATGGATTGGTAAAAACCAGGCCTTTTTGTTTGTCTACTCCATTCATACTCACAGGCTAGCAAGGCTGATGGAATTTGGATTATAACAACTGTTAATTATACAAATATGTTTGAATGTATTCTTTCTATTCATTTTTCTAAGCATAAGTATATATAATTATCTATACATATAGGTATGTTTATGTGTGTGTATATAATTATAAACCCACAGAATCTCTCTCTCTCTCTCTCTCTCTCTCTCTCTCTCACACACACACACACACACACACACACACACACAGATGGTCCTTTACTTGATGGCAAGTGACCTCCAAGAGACCAGAAAACCAAAGGAGACTGTCACCGCTATGCCCAGGATCCCTTCAGCTGACAGCCACCCCCAGGGCAGCTTGGCATTTTCCAGGCACAGCCCAAGCATCATCATCCTGGGTGGCAGGGGAGGGGAGCTGGTACATTCACCTGAACCTGTTCATCAGTAAAGGTTGTCTTCTTTTAAACAATGAAAGGAGGCACACTCAGTCACCTCCTGTCTTGGAATGGAGTCTTTCACAGAGCGGAGGAAGAGCTAGGTGGAAACCCTCTGCAAAGGAGTATGGGTAACAGAAGATGGGACCTGGCTGGAGGGAGAGCCAGGGCTCAGCTGGGCTTCACTGAGGGTCACAGGGCCCACTGAGGGACAAGGAATGGCCCAGCCACTCCTGCCCCCCCAAAAAAAAACTTCACAACCCTATCCAAGACAGATCTGGCTGGATCAGTTGGATTTCAGAAGCCTGCCTGGAGGGCTAGAGAGACCCTGTGTTGGGAGACACCTAGCATTTCAGGTGTCCCAGGCTTCTTCCCTGCCCCTCTGCCACTTTTTTTTTTGGTAGCACTGGAGTTTTAACTCAGGCCTCACACTTGGTAGGCAGGCGTTCTACCACTTGAGCCACTTCACCAGCCCTATTTTGTGTTGGGTATTTTCAAGATAGGGTCTCACAAACTATTTGCCCAAGGCTGACTTCGAACCTTGATCCTCCTGATCGCTACCTTCCGAGTAGCTAGGATTATAGGCATAAGCCACTAGCACCCACCTCTTCTTTCCCCTCTTGAGTTGCGCCATGGAGGTGGGGCTGGCTCCTCAGTCACTCTGACTGCTTATGTGGGCAACAAAAAAAGGGAACCAGGTGAGAAGCTGAGATGGGCCTGGCATCCCTAAGAGTATGACCTGTTACTTGGGAACTCTCTAGAGACCAGTGCATTGAGCAGGAAGGGGCCAGCAGTAGTCCCTGAAGGCTGCAGAGGCCTATTCTAGGAGGCATTGGGCCCAGGGTCTGCAGAAGTGTGGATTATGGTGCCGGCTCTCAGAATGCCAGTGCTTGGCTGTGAATGTCTAAAGCCTCACCATCCACATAGAGTCCCATCTGGCCTTTTCACTGAAGCTCAATGGGGTTGAGACCAGGTAAGTCTCAGATAGGGAAACCCCTGATAATATTAGGTTCCCATGGTACCACCCTCCTGACCCAGAACTACTGGCCACTTCTTTTTCCTCTCACCAAGAAGAGTATACTTTCTTCCAAACACCTCCTCCCCCTCCTACCTATTACCCATCCCATCGGCTGGGGACCAAGTGTTCAGCACTTGAGCCTTTGGGGCACATTCAAGATCTAAACCATAACACTCAGTAATGGACAATTATCTAAGTGAGAGATTTTGAGATTATACAAGTATCCTATTTATTCTCCACTTTTTTCCCATTCTGTATCCACCTATCTGCATGTGTGTATGTATGTATACACATGTATACATAGATATGCATATTCATGTGTTCATATATACGTGTATATATTCTCACATCCAACTGTGATGGTTATTACCATGGTGTTTGCTTCGTGCCGATTTCCATCAGTTTCCCTTCTCCCTCATCTCGATCAGGAAGAGATCATGGATATTTAATCATAAGGTTATAACGCATCATACAATACCATTGTTTGTTTCTTCCACTGTTCCCACTCTGGCCATGGGAGCTCCCGCAAGTTATTTCTCTGTCCCTTTGACATACCCTCACCCTTTCTTACATATGTCCTTACTTCCTGCCATCTCATGATATCGCAGGCTCATCTGCATTTTCTCTGCCTCTGCCCCAGAATGAACCATTTCTCCGAGGGATCTGATATCTTCTATTGGAGAGTAGTGTTTAGAAGCCAAGATCTGAGAAGCAGGTGTGTTCATTGTTACTGTGGTCCTCATTGTGTCTAGGCTAGGAAATACATGTGTTTAATTTGATCCACTGCTATGGTTGGATAAGTATCCCCCAAAGGCCTACGTGTTAAAGGCTTGGTCAGCAGCCTGTGGTGCTGTTTAGATGCAATGGAACCTATAAGAGGCAGGATCTAGTGGGATGAAGTTAGCTCACTAGAGAAGTGCATTTGAAGAGAATATTGGGACTCTGGCCTTCCTGACTTTCTCTTTGCTTCCTGGACACCATGAGTTGAGCAGTTACCTCTGCCACACACTCCCGCCATGATGTGCTACCTTGCTGCAGACCCAAAGGCAGTAGGGCCAAGTGACCATGTATCAAAAGCATGAGCCAAAATAAATCTTTCCTCCTTGTAAGTTTCTTATCCAGGTATTTTGTCATCATGATAGAAATGCCCACACATATGCAATTAACATATACAATTAACACTGATACTTCCATTTCAATCCAACATTGTGTGGGTCATTCTGGCCTTCCCCCTTCCTGACTTGTATCTTCCTTTCCCTACCATGAGAAACTCTATTCTCATTATCTACAATATATTTACTTATTTGTTCAATCTTAGTATACTATAAAGTAACACTTCTCCCAGTGAAAGAAGCATTTACTAACTAGATTGCAGAATGTGTGTGTGTGTTTGTGTTTGTGTGTGTGTGTGTGTGTGTGTGTGTGTGTGTGTGTGTGTGTTATTTCACCTTTGTAGGGTCCAGTTAAAATAGTTTTCCAAAGTCACTTAGGTTAGGTTTTATTTCCCCTCCACACCCATCAGCATGATTGAGTTGTTTATTAGGGATATAATTAGGTTCACTTGTTACTGTTTGAATTCCATCTTGAATTCTCCCACATCCTAGTTGGTTTTAATTAGTCATTTATTTTGGGGGTATGTAATGGAAACATTACTATGATTGTACGAGTCAGAGGTATATACAGAGACACACTCAGACAAGTGTCATTCTTGCTGTTCCATGCCCATCCCCCATCCGAACACTGTCTCTCTGTGGATAAGCAACCTCTTCAGTTTAGTTTATCCTTCTCACTTGTGACTTAAGTCTCCCAAGGACTGAAAACCACGCTCTCCCCTCACCACATGCACCATTCTCAAAAGCCTAACCTACCAGCAATTTCCTAAGCATAGACCACTTGTTTACACCCCTGGACCTTTGCATGCCATTCCCTAAGATTCCACTACCTCCTCACCTTGGTGCCTTCCCAGGCCAAGTTCCTTTGCCCTTAGTGACCTTTCTGGCTCAGGCCTTGTTACATTACTTTGAACCTGTTTGCATGTCAATGCATATATTTATATGTACCTCACTTTCCCCTCCTAAAAACAAGGGCCAATTTCTTTTATTTCTCTCCTGGCATCCCAAGGTCCATCCTAAGACTATGGCCCCTTGTAAAGGTTGTATTGACTGTGTTGGGGATCGGTTGCCACCTGGTGGATGCCACAGGAAAGGCCTCTCCTGACTCGGTTCCATCATAAACCAAATGGATTTCCAAATATGAATTGCTGTCAGGGTTTTTCTTTCCTTTTTCATTCCACCTTTAGGTGGAAATAGGCAGGGAACCCTCACCTTTTGTTTCCTTCTGCGATCGATCCTATGGGAAAATTGCCTTTAATTAAATCACTGGCTATGTGAAGTTTTGGGGGCTCTCTGTGGCATCAGTTACCCAGGTTCCTTAGCGATTGTGGATATATCCAAAGGCTGACTAAGAGATACAGGATCACAGGGTGAAACGGCTGTCTTGGAGACCTGCCAGCCTTCTCTCTCTTGCAGTCATTCAGATTGTCACAGTTCCTTCTCTAAGGCCCAACAGCTTTTTAACTGGAGAGCTTCGAGATAATCTACCTCTGTTCTTCCTTTTCAAGGGCTTTCACTTTGTGAAGTGCTTTCTCAATGATTCTCACATTCTGAGCCACACAGTTGCTACTGGCTGACAAATCCTTCTCCAAAATGCTCAAGACCAGAAGCATTTTCAGACCTTTTAGGATTTTGGAATATTGAGATATGTTGGGTACAGAACCCAATTCTAAACAGGAAATTCATTGATGTTTCATATACACATTACCCAAAGATAATTTTTTATACTGGGGTTTGAACTCAAGGCCTATACTCTTGAGACACTCCACCAGCCCTTTTTTGTGATGGGT